TTTTTAACATTTCTTTTCAAGATTACAGTGTTCTTTATATAAACTTAATGAAAGTTATCAATATTATAATTTTAGATAGGTTCATATACAAGTTTTCATTTGACATGCTTATTTTGCCTTAAAGAATTGTACACCGAAAGGTAGCTCGATTCAGGCTTGGCCCATTGTTGTCAAAGGAGCAAGATTCGACATTTTTTTATTTCATAAAATAAAATAAAAAGACGCACTTATAGAGTACTTTATCCCTTATATACAAAGTCTTAAAGCAGCAAAAAAAAAAAAAAAACGTTATAATTGTTGTGAAAAAAAAATATTCTAAAAGTATCGGGACTCAAAAATGTGTCACTCGTGAAAACTGTAAAAATGTCGAGACGTACCTTCTGCCCTCTCGAAACCCAAAAGCAAAATGCTCCGTAGTTATAATTGGCAGTTTGGTTCTAGTCACACATTTTCCACCAACATACTTTTTTCTTTTTCAGACTTTTGTGAGGACCGATAATATTTTCTTGCAAAATTTAAGATGAAATTACCGATATAGAATTTTTTTTTGTAACATTTATTTTAAGCAGGTCCGTATTTTCGAACCATTAAAATAATAAAGGACAGAGTAATACCATTGTGTAATTTTATTTAGATAAAACAATTAAAAAAAAAAAGTGGTACAGGAAAGGTGGCGATTTGCCCCAGCGAAGTACTCGTAAATACGTGGCAACGCGATTAACCATTGGGAAAATATCCCAATATTCAATAATGGCAACACCTGCTTCAGTCGCCCGTCAACACGCTCGCTTTTCGCGCGACGTAGAAGCCACTGTGCTGATGCCAAGCGCAAAGCAAAAGCCGCCGGGCAAAATTTGTCGACTTTTCGCAGCATATTTGTCAAGCATGTCCTTAGCAACAAACTGTCAAAAAAAAAAAAAAAAAAAGCAAACAGAAAAAAAAAAAACGCACAGATGCGCCACGTTTTATTTGTCGAGGGGCTTCTTCTGTCTTGTAACTTGTACGTTGTGGGTTTCTATGCTCGCAGTACGTTTTCCGCTCTTTTCACTGCACAACAAGAACACGTATCTTCTTTTTTTTTTTTTTTACATTTTCTAGAGGCAGCATTTTTAGCGAGGTCGATCGTTCTAAAGCGATCTTTGGTGAGAATTAAGTAAAGAGCAATTTGTGGTAAAGAACAATTATTTTCCCCGATTTGCACCCTTTCTTTCTAAAAAAATAATTTCCCCCCGCAAATTTCATTTGATTGTGCGCTTCATAGTAACACTCACTTATTCCCATTACACTCTGCGGTCGCATACGTTTGTAGGCCGCCTCGGCAAAAATGTAAATCCGGGCCCGCGGATATCCGCATCAGATCCACATCCGCAGCCCTTGGCATTCCGCGTCCGATCCGCCAAATCTGATACCCCAGTCGAATGGCGTATCAGACGTACCCGGCGGCAATAGAATTATCGGTACTCGCCGTGCCCCCGCCTTCTTCGGCTGTCAGGGACTATGGAACTACCAAATGCAGTTTGCAACCATGGAACAACAAATATCTTCTACGGTGTATTTACTGGCGGCCATAGCTGTGTGCACGACTGCTGAGCGCGTGCTGACGGCGACCTTTCACAGTTCTTTTGCAACCGGTCGCCTACTAATGCGAGCTCGTTTTGAGCATGCTCTTTAAACAGCTCTGTAAACAGCATATGGCGTGCAGCGAATAGGGTGTATTCACTGACGACCATAGCTGTGTGCGCGACTGGTGCTGGGCGTGTGCTGACGGCGATCTTCCGCAGTTATTTTGCAACGTGCATTCCGCACGATTGATTGCCGGTCATAGCAGCCTATTAATGCGAGCTCGTTTTGACAATGCGCCCTAAACATCGCTCTCAAATATGGCGCCCAGTGAATACCTTCTATACGATTCCGAGTCAAGAGGTCCAACGAGTCAAAAGATCCAACGCGTCAAAAGATCCATAATTGGATCTTCTGACTCGTTGGACCTTTTGACTCATTGGACCTCTTGACTCGCCGTGGATCTTTTGACTCGTTGGATCTCTTGACTCGTTGGACCTCTTGACCCACATTGGATCTTTTGACTCGTGTCGGGCGAGTCAAAAGATCCAACGAGTCAAAAGATCCATTATTGGACCTTTTAATTTGTTGGACCTCTTGACTTCCTGTCCGATAACGGGGAACAAAAAAAGGGAGGGGGGGGGGGGGGGGGGTGAAGGGCTTCGAAGGAAGTTGGAACAAAAACAGCAGGAAAAGAAAGAGAAGCCAAACAACGAGGAATGACGGCTTTTGGGTGGCTAGGAGGGTGTGACGGTGACTGCCCTGTAACGAGTTGGGATCCTGGGAATAATAAAAAAAAAAAAAAAAATGATGATGGGAGAAGATGATGCAGTGGCCTCGAGAACGACATGTTTTGGCATCCTAAATGGGTGGCTATGTCACGGCGTTGTGCGTTTTCCATTTTAATCGGCTGGTGACCAACGTAAGCTCTTCGTGCTGTATGCTTGACTACCGCAGGAATTCCCCAAAAATTTTGCCCGCTGTACTAGCTTGAAAGTCGCTACACAAATGCACACGCGCACACTAAAAGTGCAAAGCCATGAGGCACTCTGCGATTGATTGGACTAGCCTGTAATAATATGCACAAAAAAGTCGACGCACGCCATGAACACGTTTTGTTTTCACCATTGCTTAATGGGTCCTGTCAGCTCGTAGCGTTGGCTGCGCTGTAGCTTTAGTAGAACGTAGCTTTAGTAGAACGTACGAAAATTTGATATTTTTTTATAATTTCGAATTAGCGCAATTACGGCACAAGAAAAAATATCCACATGATGAATCAGACATTATCATAAACATACTACATATTTTTTGTGGCATGCGTGCAGTCATGTATGCCTACTGCGTGATGCACGTTAAAGACCACAGGCTTGTAGTGGTACTGCATTGTCAAAATTTCTCGTCTACAGCGTAAACCAGTGTCGCCGCTCCTCAAAGGCAAACCGACCTGACACTGAGTAAACACAAACCTCAAATATATTTTTCGTGATTGCGTGTTATGGAACAGCGTCTTTGTGTGTCACCATATTTAATTCTGACGTAGCCAGGATAGAGAAAATACGACCTTTTTTTTTTTCAATTAGCGTTCTATCGACATTTCTTCTTCTTTTTTTAAATTAGCCTTCTATCGGAATTATTTATTTTATTTTCGTCGGGCAACGTCTAACGTGTAAAAATATATTCTGCTAGTGAAGGGCAGAATGACCGCATGCGCATAAGCCATCACAGCATACTTCAGTTTAGTGAGCGTATTTCACTTGAGTCAACGCTCGATTCTTAGATTCGCAGGTGAGCTTTTCTCAGCGTAGGACAGTTGGCGGTGAGCTTTTCTCCGGTAAGCTTTTCTCCAGTGAGCTTATCTCTGGTGAGCTTTTCTCCGGTGAGGTTTGCTCCACCGCCCCGCAGGTCGCATAGTGGCACATCTTTGATAAACCCTCATTATCTACCTGAGAGTCCACTGATCTTGAAAATGGTGCCTATTGACAACATCTACTGAATAGACCTATTGCTAAATTACCCAAGCATCAAGGAGAATGCAGCGAATGGTGTTCCAGGCGCCGCACGTGCCGGCGTCTGCAGCAGTAACTGTTCTAAAGCAAAAACCTAAAACAAATGGCATCTTGCACGCGCGTTCGTCAATGGTTTATCTTGGTTATTTACTTCGAATCTTTTATACGGGGAAGGCGTGCGCGTGCGGCGGTGCGAGCGTAGAGTTTTTGGTCACGCACATGAAAAATCCTCAGAACCCTAGCCATAAAAAGCTTCGCTGTGAAAAGCTCGCCGTATACTATCTCTCCGGACACAAGCTTACCGATTTTTAGGTCCTGGATAACTTTGTTTACACACATCGCCACTCAGATCGTTTTTTCGCCTGCCTTTTTTGTTTAGATGTTGGCAATTAGTCTATTGTCTGCTTGCTAGCCCGCTAATTATTCGTGGATCCAGGCAAATCGAAGTCACCTAAAGACAAAGGTGACGCGCTTTGAAAGCAGGTCCTCTCGTCGCGGTTGTATGCTCGTTCTGCTTCGTCTTTGATGACAATATTGCTTTAGGGGAAAAAAGTCACGGTTCAGCGTAACCACAACAAAATGAGGAGAATCCCCTCCGGCCCTTCCCTAGCCGCGAGAAATCGCGAAGAAAAGGGACTATTCCCCTTTCCTCCTGCAACCACTTGTGCCAGCCAAGAAAATACGCGCGTGACATGAACTGAGTGAAAGAGTTAGCAAGTTCAATAAGTACCTGCTCAATTTGAGGATACATTTTTTTTTAATGTTGTCGTGAAAACGTGAACAGACGCGTCAAAAGACTCATATTCATGACTTTTGTCACGCAAAGTTTTAGTGGCGCATCTACACGAAGCAAAGAAAAGCGCTCCCTCCCCACTCCCCAAAGCCAGCGACACGAAACCGGCCTCCGGCCCCGGGTAACCCCTTCAGGCCCGTTTTCCGGCCTCCAACCGGAAAACGGTGGGGAGGTTAGCGGCGCGTCAAACTTAAATCTGTCTCACTTTTTTTTTCTTTTTTTTCAACAAAAAGTACGGCACTTGGTAAAAAAATATTTTCTGATCTTTAATGTTCAACGTCTCCCCTTGCACTATGGGAAAACTGGTGAGGAGCTTTTCGCGACCCCCTTTCAATATGGCTCGGCGGTTCTCGAGTAATTGGCCCTCTTGACCCGCATTGGATCTTTTGACTCGCGTCTGCCGAATCAAGAGATACAACGCGCCAAAAGATTCATTATTGAACCTTCTGACTCGTTGGACCTTTTGAATCGTTGGACCTCTTGACTCGCCGTGGATCTTTTGACTCGTTGGACCTTTTGACTCGCTGGACCTCTTGACTCGCCGTGGATCTTTTGACTCGATGGATCTCTTGACTCGTTGGACCTCTTGACCCACATTGGATCTTTTGACTCGTTGGATCTCTTGACCATAAGCGCTTCTATACCAGTGTTATAATTAACTAAAACGTTTTCTAGCATTTTTTTTTTTTTTTTTTAATCTCTAGCGCGATTCGCACTTGTATTGCTATGCTAGAATAAACGTACGCAGTTCACTGAGTCTTATCTCGACCACGACAGCGGCAACTAAACAAACGAACCTTTAATTATCCGAGAAAGCCTCGCTCGCAAGAAACAAAACGAGATATAAAATAAATTCGTCACATAACCTTAGTTTCACCCACCGTCTCAAATCTATAGCAGGTTGGTTCTATCTACCCCCCAAAAAGAGCGACGCGCGTCCGTCCGCCGGCACCAGGCGACGCACTAATCGTTCCAGACGGAGCAAGTTCTTGCCGGGTTCATCCTAGACCCCTTTTTGCACTTGTAGACGGCCGCGAAACGTTTGAAGTTGCTCAGCGGCAGGTTGACCTTAAACTTGGCCGGAATCCGCTCGCGGAACAGGACCTGCTTGCTCGCGGTGCCGTTGCGCGCGTTCTCGCAGTGGCCCACGGCGTAGTTGACGAAGAACAGCTGGTCGCTGGACATACTCTTGAGTGTCGGAAGCATGAACATGGCCGGCCTGCCCGCCCGGTACGGGAACGAGTGCAGATAGACGCGGTACAGGGGCTCGAGCACGGCGTTGTCCTCGACGGCCTCGTCCAGGTAGTCGTCGACGGAAACGGAGGAGTCTGCCTCGGCAGACAGAGCCTCCGTGTACTGGCGCAGGAAGCACCAGGACCTGTGCGCGAACCGCAGGGCCGTCGCCCGACTCCACGACGGTCGGCGGACGTCGTCGTGCGTCGCCTGGAACGGAATCCGGTTTGCCGTCAACCGTTCCAATTCGCACATACAAATGCCTTCCCTGCAAAGCTCGTTCTCAGCGGGGAAGTTGGCTGTGCCCACATTTTCAAGACTATCTTACGCTGAAGTTGCAATGCAAAATAAAAAAAAAAGTGACGACTTTTTTATAATCCGCTATTTTCCTGATGAGGCATCAGGAAAATAGCGGATTATAAAAAAGTCGTCACTTTTTTTTTATCCACTGGTACCTGTAGTCACTGGCAGAATTAGAACGGTAATGATGTACGTTCCGTTCAGTGGCGTAGCCAAAATTTTTTCTCCTTTTCTTTTTTTTTTTGAGGGGGGGGGGGGGGGGGGGAGGGGGCTAGGTGTTTGAGATGCTCATGACTTGGAGTGAGGGTTCCTCCCTTCAGTAACACTTGGGCGTCCCGTGAGCTTCGAACATGCAGCCAAAGCACTGCGGAAGGCAACGAGCGCGTGCTGATCCCGGACGTCGGACTGAGAGACGCCCCGCCGTTCTCATTCAGCTATCAGTGACGATAAGGCCACGAATAATATTTACGACGGATTCGTCCGCCTCGCGGTTGGATCCCGGCTGTTCCAGTGGCACGATCTGACGGGCTGTCCGCAGTGACAGCGAGCGTATCGAGCGCGATACGAGGAAGACTCGTAACGGAGATAATCTTAGGCAGTTGCGGCGAGGCGTGCATCGTCAACACTTTTAGGCGCAGCCGAAAGGCGTGGTCAAGCATAATCACCTCGAAATCGCACATTCTGATTGGTGCATAAGCTAAAGAGCGAAAAAAAGGGCCGAGAGAGAGAAAGAAATGAAGGGAATGATTGGCTCCTTGCCTTCATTGTACAGCACAAAGAACGCAATCAATAAGACGGTCTAAGGAAGCAACGTCGGAAAGCTGGCAGGGCGGCGAAAGCTTTGTGCTCGCCGGACCAATCAGTTGCCTGCCTTACGTCACCTGACACTCTCCCCCCCCCCCTCCCCTTCCCGCCCTTTACCCTCCTTCTGCACGTGTGTACAAAAAGAGCCACTGCATAGATGAGCAGAGAGGACAATGATGACATGGAGCAAGGCCACCCGTCCCCGACGGTCGACTGGTCAAACGAGCAAGTGGCTTCCACCACACTGTCACCTCAGCGGTGACGGAAAACAGTTATGTGAACGTGGCCTAGCAAGAAAATAGACGGCTAAACTCCCGCGTCAATGTTCGTACGAATCAGTTGGTGCCGCCGCCCGAGACCGTATTACCTGGAGGTCGGTGACGGCGGCAAAGAGCCCCCTGACCGCGTAATGAAGAAACCGGGGCACGTGGATGGGCAGCACGTCTTTCACGTGCAGCAGGAAGCCCATCACGCCGTACGGCAGGAACACCCTATTCGACGTCGGGTCGTACCTGCGAAGAAAAGAAACTGCGTTTTTTTCTTCTTATGTTTTTTTCTTTTTTTTCTTTGTAAAATCGAAAGAAAAAGACAGCTGTATAGATGGATGGCGGGTGGATGAGCTAGCTAGCCCCAAATTATTATTATTATAAATCTTTTATTCGGATGTCGCTGTGGTTTGAGTGGGGAGGGGGAGAGATGGGAGGAAAGTCACATTCGTCGGTCGATGCCGGCGGAGAGCGCGAATCCCCACAAGGAGAGCAGCACCCCCTTGGCGATGGCACGGTTGACTGCGGTGATCCACTCGTGGAGGTCACCGATGCCGGTGGAGACGTGCTAGAGTCGTTGCGGCTGTAGCCCAGGGCAGTTTCAGAGTAGGTGGTATACGGATGGTCTCGCACCAGTGCTGCACGAGGAGCTTTGGACCGGGGTTGATGGGGGGTATCGGGATTCGCACGCTGGTGTCCTATCTTGTGCACGTAGGCGCGCCACTAGGCTAGCACGTCTTCTGTAAGTCACACTCCCGCGCGCGCTTTGTTCAGGAGGACTTGCACGCCGCACAGAAGCCCACGAGGTGTGCGGGCGCTGGGTCGTAGGGTATGCGCTTTCGTGGTCGCTGCTTCGCCGCTTGATCGGCCGTCGCCTCGATGTCCAGCGGATCGGAGCCGTGTCGTGCCAGCGGGACCGGGAAGCTCGGGTAACAGCGGTGCTCCTGGCGCTCGCTCGCCCACGCGTGTGCGGTTTCGTTGGCCATTCCGCCCGCGTGTCCCGGGACCCAGTCTACTCGCACCGCAATGTTGCGAGTACTTTGCGGCAGGCGGCAGGCGGCAGTCGGCCTCGATGCGGTGGCATGCCGTGCCTGTGCGAGGCGTGCGCCCGAGTCGGATGACAGACACTCTGCGGTCTGTGAACATTGTAAACTTGCGAATTGTTGAGTCGGCATACCTTTCCTTTATGTTTTCCGTGGCTTCGAAGCCACGGCTTCGAAGCCACGGAGCGTGTGCCGCTTCGAGTTCGAAGCGGCACACGCTCGCTTTCTCGAGAGAAATGGAATGGCGCGTGCGTGCCGCACGTGAGAGGCCATCGACGCACACCAGCGTATCACTCTAAAAAAAGTCCGTGCGCCTACTTTCCCGCACAACACTCCGAGGGCCAATCACCGCAGCTTACGGTAACAGTTCAGCGAATGACGATGCCAGAACATAAGTTTAGACCAAAAAACGCAGTCTGAGTTGTGACATTAAGCAGTGCGAAACGTCACGCTTGCATTTCTTAATGTCACAACTCAGACTGCGTTTTTTGGTCTAAACGTAAGTTGTGGCATCGTCATTCGCTGAACTGTTCCCGTAAGCTGCGGTGATTGGCCCTCGGAGTGCTGTGCGGGAAAGTAGGCGCACGGGCTTTCTTTAGAGTGTAGCGCGAATCGCCTCTTCGCCCCATGCCGGATTAGTGAAGATCACTCCTTCAGTTAGGTCCGCGCTCGCTTCCGTGGTGTTCTCTGCTGCTTCGCCCGGAAAAGGGCTTGGGCACCCGCACAACACGTCCTTCCACGGTGGGATGCACGGCGGTAATAGTGGCGGTAATTCCCCGTTAGGCGTGCTACGCCGCACGATGCCCTGGCCTGTTCTAGGTACCAGTCGTCGTTGTTGGTGGTGGTTGCTCGCTCTCTCTTCTATAATCTCTTGGAGCGGGAGCAGCCCGCTCCAAGTGAAATCTAGAGGAGAACGACGAAAGTGACGTGGGGGCTAACATTACCTCCTAAAACGGCATTTCAAATAGGGGGCGCTAGTATCTGTTTTTCTCGAGGAGGTAAGGCACTTCCTTCCTCATCAGCACAGTGGTGAGTTGGGCTAGTTGGTTTTGCATTTCAAAAGGGTAAAAACAGCGCAGAAAGACTCGGACAGGGAAGGAGTACACGCAGGGAGCGCTGACTTTCGACTGTTTAATTTCTGAGAAAAGACGCCCACCGTCGTGCCCACATACATCCAATCAAATTACTTCACGTACGTCACATCGTATCAACTGATCATTGTGTCGAAAACTGCTGATGAACGCAAGTTCACAGTCAAATAAACAAATAGAGGGAGAGCGTTCACGAGCGGTTTTTGTCTAAATCTTCAGTTGATATGATGTGACGTACGTGATGTGATGCGATTGAATATATGTGGGTACGACGGTGGGCGTCTTTTTTCAGAAATTAAATAGTTGAAAGTCAGCGCTCCGTGTGTGTACTTGTTCCCTGTCCGTGTCTTTTTGCGCAGTTTTTACACTTTTTAAATTTATTACCAGATTTAGGGTGTAAAAGTTGGTTGTTCTACCCTCTTGGGAACCTTTTTTTAAGAGTGTAGGTTGCTCTGTGATGGCGCGTAAGCTCTCTCGGTGTAGAGTCCTTAGAGGGTGTTGCGTGTGCGTGAGGTTGAAACACACGACTCCATAGCACGCCTTGGGTGCGAGGACGGCTTTAGTAAGAATGGGACGTATGGACGTTCCAGCGCCGCCGAAGCGGTAGCCGATTCGCTAGCCTCAAATAATTTTTGCCCAATGTCCTGTTTTCCGGATCTCTCGGGAGTTACGGGCGCGGCCGGCAGACGCTCCCAAATATGTTGCATTACGCCGTGCAGAATCAATATCGTGACCGAACAGAAATAGAACTCACACTAAAATAAACATTCGGGCAGTGTTTACAGTGCCTGTAAATAGTGTTTCTTCTGTCCACGAGAGCCTTGCCGAGCAGTCGATCGCAGACGTTCTCACTCGTGTTATTTCACGGCAGAGACTAACGGCTGCAGAAGCGGCAGTTGATACTGCCGCTTCCGACACTGAATTCGCGATTCGTTCTTCGGAGTTCTTATCAACTAATGCTGCAATCTCATTAACTTCAGAGGGGAAATGGACTTACGGGAAAACAGGGCACGCGCCACGTTCGGAACTTCGGACTCGCAGCGACACTTCGCGCTCCCTCGCCTGAAAAGGGTGCTTCACCTGAGGACACGCCAAGCCGCGCAGAGAAGCGGCAGAGCGATCCGCGCCGTCACGTACGGCTGCTTTCTTTGGCTTTGGCTGGAACTTACGTATAAATGCCGACAATAAGGCAAATAAGAAACTCGGCTCAGGAATATTTACAGCCGTAGTTTCCTGACCTAAATCGCCGACAGAGCATTAAGGCCCGTTCACACTCTTGCGACCGAGTACGACTGAGAGAGACGAGATCTCTTAAGGCCCGTTCACACTCTTGCGACTGCTTGCGACCTCTTAAACCTGGGTTCCTTAAAACTTCTTAAACCAGAGAACACACTGGCGCCATCTATTGGGAAGCAGTGTAAACTCGGCGGTCCGGCATATTTTTTTTTTTATTTCTCGCGCAATATCCTTTCTTTTTTGGCTCGAAAAACTTTTGTCAATGTTATAAACGAGCCTTTTTATGGGTATTACGCACATTTGACCTCGGAAATCCCGCAAAACCTTCGCTTTTGTGAAATGCAGTTCTAGGGTCACCGCATAGATGGCGCCACAATGTCAGTGTGTTCCCTCATTCTAGAAACATTTAGGAAGTTGTAAGAGATCTCGTCTCTCTCAGTCGTACTCGGTCGCAAGAGTGTGAACGGGCCTTTACAACTTCTTAAATGTTTCTAGAATGAGGGAACACACCGACATTGTGGCGCCATCTATGCGGTGACCCTAGAACTGCATTTCACAAAAGCGAAGGTTTTGCGGGATTTCAGAGGTCAAATGTGCGTAATACCCATAGAAAGGCTCGTTTATAACATTGACAAAAGTTTTTTGAGCCAAAAAAGAAAGGATATTGCGCGAGAAATAAAAAAAAATATGCCGGACCGCCGAGTTTACACTGCTTCCCAATAGATGGCGCCAGTGTGTTCTCTGGTTTAAGAAGTTTTAAGGAACCCAGGTTTAAGAGGTCGCAAGCAGTCGCAAGAGTGTGAACGCGCCTTAGGAAGTTTTAAGAAACCCAGGTTTAAGAGGTCGCAAGAGTTTGAACGGGCCTTTAGTGTTGTGCCTGGAACGCGTCTTCGACCGGTGTATCTATCGTATCCAAAGAAGTGGACGTTGGATTTTCACCTGATGACGTCATAGAAGTATCATGCTGTCGCCGATCGCAATCCTGGCGGTGTCACAGCGGCGCAGGTGAATGTGGCAAGCGCCTGTTTTGCTACAGGTCGCTCCCCAGTGCGACAGTCCAAGGAAGCTTCGGCAGCCAGGAGTTGAAACGCCGTGACGACGGCGACATCTCGCGTTCGCCAGCACTCCTATACGATCAACCGCCAGGATCGAGACATCCGATAGCTTGACACTACTGCTCTCTTGTGACGTCATTTGCTGTCACTTCAGGACCACTTTTCGTGTGTGGTCGGGATAGGACGCATCAGGTAACCCGCGCGGGGCCGCAGTGATTTAGCCCGACGATCTCGACCAGTGAGTAGGCGAATTCGCTTTCGGGAGCGGAACGAACTTGAAACTACGGCCTTTTGCAACATAAAAAGCGCACGAAGGTCTCTGCCCACAAGTCGCATAAGCCCCTTTTCCCGTGTCTGCTCGCCTGTTATCCTTGGGTCGGAGACAGGGTGAAAAGCAAACGAAGACGAACAAGTAAAATAAATGCCCTTCTACAAAAAGAAAAAAATCATTTTAAAGATAGAGAAAAAAACAACGCAGTGGATTACGATATATTTACTAATTCAGCCTACAAATAGTACAAGAGGTCTCGAAGTATTGCGAATACCGACTGCCAAAACTCTCCACGTTTCTCCTCTACACCTCTGACCTATCTAGCCATTCGAAACCCAAAAATGGAGGCCCTATGAATAAGAGGTGTCGTAGGCGGAGCTTCTCCACTTATAATCGACCGTTTCCACCACGTGACTGCACGCAGCCAATCGTGGAGCCCGTTTCATATCCAGCAACGAGTATTGAACGCGCGCTACCCTCGGACCATCCAGTAACCAGTGCTTTTTGACACTCAAAAAGCCTGTGAGTTCACTTTCCCGCAGAACACGGAGACAGCCAATCACGACAAACAACAGAAGTATCCGAGCAAAGGCCTACTCTGAGAATACAATTTTGAGATTCGGCGAACGACGAAGCTGAATACATGCTTAGACCTAAAAACGAAGTCTGAGCATGGCGTAAGCTTCTTGGTGAAATTAGGGCGAAGACAAGATAGGAAAAACCTGAAGACAGGATAGAGCGCTACTTACAGAAGGCGTTTATTAATAAGTGAGAGAAAGACAAGAAAGAAGTACCGACAGCTAAAGGAGAAAGACACATAAACAAAAAGACATGACAAATTGTCAGTAAAGGAAGGGGCCGGAGAGAGAGGAATAATGACAAACACTGTCAGCACTTCTTTTGTCTTTCTCTCACTTTGTAATAAACACCAGTAGTAAGTAGCGCTCTATCCTGTCTCTGCGTTCTTCCTCCCTTGTCTTTGTGCTAATTTTACAAATATGTATTACCAACTAGCCCACCAGACGATTTTAATACATGTCATAGGCATGTGAAACATCATGCTTAAGGCCCCTTCACACACTTGCAACCGAATACATCAGAGAGAGACGAGACTTGTTGAAACCTCTTAAAATTTCTTAGGACGAGAGAACACACTGGCACGCTGGCGTATCCGGTGAACCTGGAACTGCGATTCTCAAGAGCGAAGGTTTTGCGGGATTTCCGAGGTCAAATGTGCGTAATACCTATAAGGAAGGCTCGTTTATAACGTTGACAAAAGTTTTTCGAGCCAAGAAAGAAAGGATAATGCGCGACAGAAAAAGAAGCTACGCCGGACCGCCTAGTTTACACTGCTACCCAATAGATGGCGCCAGAGCGTCCTCTCCTCGTCGTAAGAGATATTAACAGGTTCCAAGGCACTCGGTTCAAAAGGTCGCAAAAGTGTGAACGGGTGTCGCAGCCCCCCGTAGACTTTTAGCTCTAAACATATTTTCAGCCTCGTCATTCGCTGAGTTACCTTCCTAGATTGCAGTAATTGGCTTTCCCCCAAATCCTTAAAAAAATAGACATACTATTATTTTGTTCTTATAGTGTTGGCAGTGAGGACAGTGGGGTACCCACTTATACGACGTGTCCATACTGCTGACGCTCCCGAGCTCGCGGAGACGAGCCGCAACGTCGATGTCGCTGGCGTTCATGGCCGCTGCGGGGGCACTGTTCTGAGTGCGCTGCAGCGCTGCCCAATACTTGCGCTGCACGGAGGTCTTCATGTGGAAGTAGCTCTCCAGCAGGCTGCGCTCGTTGAGCATAGGCACGTCCACGAAGTATTGGCCCATGTCCTCTTCGGACAGGGAGTCGTCCGGACTGAGCAGCGCTACGCTTGCCCCAGACACGTGGTTCAGCGTCAGGTTTAGGTCTTCGCCGGACAGCCAGGATGCCTGGAAGGGGACAGGTCGGAGACACTCCTGAGTACCTCAGAACGCCAGTCAACGTTTCGCGTCTCCGACCGGTGTTCGAATGAGGTGCCGAGGTGCAACAAATTACGTCACGGCATCGTACGGGCATGTCATTCCGTCCGTTGTCGCGATCCTGACGGTGGCTCGTAGACGTTATGGCATAAATACGAGCGAACCTGAGTGTCGCTGTTATCGCGGCGTACGTAAAGCCCCTCGGAAAAGTAACGAAATCCATTGAAAAATGCCACATCTTGAAGCGACCCAGGTGCACTGCCGTAGACGTACAAGTGCGAAATAGCAAACAATAAGTATAAGAGAGTTTGCAAGGGGAAGAGAGAAGGAATGCCTATGACCTATGATGCCAAAGCGGACGCTAGAAGCCCATGTCGCTAATCAAGTAACGCCAAAAACGCAATGTCACGGTTCATCATTGTTTGCGACACAGTACATCCGTGATAGTTCGCTTTCATTCTGTGTGTATGTGTTCGCGTGTGTTCTAGCTTTCGACTGCGCTCTGATGATTCGAGTTGAAACCAAGTACGGAAAAGTCGACCGCTATCTTGGAGCGGCGCTACCGTCGACACGCGGGTGCGAGGGAAAACATATAAATATAAAAAGTGTGCGCACCACGCAGAGGAGAAGTGAGATGTCGTTTCTCATTGAGGCGTCTTACCCAACCCCTGGCTTCTGGAGCTTCTGTGAACTGCTAAGCCGGTAACCGACATTTTCGGTAGAACAGGTAATTGCCACATCCACCTGCGTAGCTGTGCCACCGCCAGGATCGCGGCAGTCAACAGCCTGACGCTTCCATGACGTCATCAGGCGGAAATCGAGGGGCCGAAACTGAAAACGCGATAAACACTCGGAGACGTGTCCCAGGTACCATAGTTTCCTAAAAGACTCGATGGAACTCTGAGGCTAGGCTCCTTTTTTACGTTCTTCTTAACCGCTTCCACCACATATTCGCCTCTTGCTCGGAGTTCCATTCAACCAGGCAGTGGTGCTGAACAGAAAGTACTTCATGTCGCCTACACACGCAAACAAAGCCCTTTTACACGTACTCGGATGGTGTCCGCGCGGTCGTCGGAATGATTTCATTCTAAACGTCGGCAATTTGACTAGTGTTGCCAACGTTTTTTCTTCTTTTTTTTTTTAAGTTTTCGTGCGTTAGAGTGCGTTATCAACCATGCTATTGCTACCCCTTCAGCTTGCTTTCTTCGTTTCTGACACGACAAAGCTTTGATCATACTCATAACTGGCAAAAGAGCCTCCGAGAAGACTTTTCTCCTTCGCTCGCACGCTTACGGTGCAAAGGGAGCTTCGACACCCGCGTGTCTCGCATCGCAAGAGAAACCAACCTGTTTTATGTAGCGCCGGGTCGAGCGCTTGGCTCTGGCCACGAGCCCCGACAGCTTGTGCAGGGTGTCCGGGTGGTGCAGCGAAGGGTTCGCGTGGCGCAGCACCACCGTCAGCGCGCTGCCAAACACCTTCTCGACGAGCTGCACACACGCCTGGACTCGCTCGAGGCCCGCGATGCGACGGCCCTCCACAGACAACGGCACCTGCGGGTCGACATCCAAACTGCGCTCTCTTTGCCCATACAGAAGTCGGGACACAAAGCAGTCGATCGCTATCGAGTTGGCGACGCTTCGAAGAGAGTTTGAGTAGACCGTACGCTGCAGACTGCAGGCCTAGCGGGCACGTGCTACAAAAAGTGACTCTTGTCACGGTTGGTGTTTCTAGTTTTCTCGCCCAGTCTCGGGTAATTCATCAAAATAGCAAAATAATAACAGGTCGAGAGCTTGCCACGCCTTGCTCTTCTTCAACCGCTGTGCCCCATGAGGCTAACTTTAGAACTGCACTTCTGGGTCAACGACAATGACGCAGCGCTCGGCAGCCGTAGCTGAACAATGCGTCAGCATTCCGCTGGGTGAACAATGCAGCGTCATCGTGCATGTGACTCTGTTCAGCGCAAAGGCCGAAGTGGGTCAAGCTCGTATCCTCTGAGGACTGCTTTCACGAGAGTGTCGCGTCCCGCCAACGTCGCTCCCTCTCCGTTTATTTATTGTCAATACTTATTACATCACATAAATAAGCAAATCCATGGTCGTTGTGTTGGGTAAACATCGAACTTTGGGGAAAACAAACTATCACTGGGTCAGGCATAATGGGAGAGAGGGCGCGTGAAAAGGCAGCGCTTCTGGCCATGTCTTCGTAGCTTGCATGTGCAGGGGCGGATGTATGGGTCAGACTTAGGGAAGGAGGGGGGGGGGGGGGGGGGGGGGTCTGCTGAGATATGACGTTACGGCCTAAACGTTGCTCAGATCTATTTTGTTGACCCAATATTTGCCATAGAACCAAAAATTAAGCTTTTGGCCGGTGTATATAAACGTTTTCATTTAAAAAAGTTAACCTTGGAGAGCTTAGGAGGAATCGCCCCCCTCCCTCTCTAAATCCGCCCCTGTGCAATGGTGGCCAGAGCCCCAACCAGAGCGCCTCATTAAAGCCGGAACTGGTGCCCTCACCCGATTGGCCGGGAGAGGATTTGGGAGAGGAGCGCTCTACTACGTCACAGCGCGTTTTTATGCGCGTTGAGAAAAAGTTGAAACCATCCATCTTTCTTCTGCGCGCCCGGAAGCCGCAAGGAACCAGCGCGACGTCACGAAATACGCAATTTCCGAAACACAAAAACGTGTTGAAGCTACCCTAGCTCACGCGCTCTTTCCCTCATTATGTCTGACCAAGGGCAAGAGATTCCCGCAATACCCTCCCCTCAGTGAACATAGGGCAGGAGGCGAGAAGGGACTCGCTTCCTCTCCAGCGCTCGCTACGTGGAAAGAGCGGAGGGATTTGAGGAAGGAACTTGTCCTGTTTTTTATTAACCTGCAACAGGGTAGAAATGCTCTCAAGCTCAGTATATATTAAAAAGAAGTACTACAGGTTGTAATTATAGTTGGAAGTGAAATCTAGCCCACGTTTTGTCACCCAGGACATCTGCTAAACGAGGGTCAACTTCTTTTTATAAACTCGTTACACTCGTTCCCTAGCAGCGGTTCTTTTTTTTTATTTTTTACTTGCTACAGTGTAAAAAAATCAACAAAGGAAAAGACCGGGGACTAATTGCTTCCTTAATCTGTGCCTTTTTTAATATCTCTCGTTCATTTTAAAATTACCAATTACGCAGACAAGTGAAGCGCCGACATACTTTTTTTTTTTAATTTTACTTTACATTCTTACAAAAAAAAAAAAAAAAACTTGTTATAAATACATTATTTTTTCTTTCTTTTTATTATTTTTTTTTTTACTGGAACGCGCGCAGCATGCGTGACGCATATGTACGTACGCGTTTGTTAAGTATACATCAACGACCTGAGGTAAAATGTAAACAATTTTTGCACCCTCACAAATGCGTAATCACTGACCGCGCGAGAAGGACAGGACGTCTCTACGGAAGGTCCCGCCTCCAGCACGCACTTTTTGCCTTCCACTGTGCTTTAGCAGCACGCTCGACGCTTACGAGACACCGAAGCCTCGTCGAAGGTAGGGGAAGCGCGCAGAAGGCGGGATCACCGAAGCACCTTCGTTCCCATCCTGTCAGTGACGACAGTTAGCGTTGAAGTTCGTCACGAAAACGTATCAAAAGTGAGCGATAACAGGTACTTCTAAAGTAACTGCAGCAATACTTGAAAAACAAGCTAGCTGCTGGTGACTCGTGGTAATAAAACCTGAGTCTCGGGTTTTATTACCATGACTTCTAAAGTACTTTCCGCCGTATAGGAGTCCTGCGACTGTTTTGCAGCTGCACGATTTCCAACGTGTAAAATATGACAATAGGAGTTACGAGGACAGGAGACAAAGGCTGCAACAGTGCAGCTTGACAAGGCCCTATAGGAAGTATTCACTGGCGGCCATAGCTGTGTGCGCGGCTGCTGAGCGCGTGCTGATGGCGAGATTCCACAGTTCTTTTGTAAGGTGCATTCCGCACCCTCAAGATTGCCGGTCTTAGCAGCCTATTAATGTGGGCTCGTTTTGAGCATGCGCTCTAATGGCGGCCATATTTGTGGGTGCTCTACCCACAAATATGGCCGCCAGTGAATACTCCCCATACAATTGGCAGCCTGGCACTGTTCGTTAATTGTGTTTCGCTCATCACGGTTGAGTTTTCGTCATTTGTTTGTTTGTGTGTGGGCATTTGTCAACGTAATTTTGAGAAGTTGACGGTTACCGGACTAAACTAAGACTTACGCTAACAGTTACTAAAACATTTCATTGGAACTTGGGAAGTATCTATAGTTGCTGACACTGGTAACTAATTACAGTCACTTGAATGCACTTAATTTGTTCCTTTACATCTTTGCCGTGCTCATTTTCTTCCCAGCGCACCATCCACGTTAAACCGGTCAAAAAAAAAAAAAAGAAAGGACCGTTTTCGCATAAAGAAGGCTCCAAGCGCGGGGGCGTATGAACTTCGGAGGAACGTTCTTCCGCTCTCGAAACCGGCCTGGAGGGTAGCGTACGCGAGTGTCGTTTGCAACTCCGCCTGTGCTCCCGCTTAATCCGAGGCACACGCGCCAGCCTCCAACGCTAGGTGGGAAAAGAGCTAGCGCATGCGCAGTACTCTTTCCGAAACATCGGACGTCGCGCGTGCGTCCAGACGTCCCAGTAACTCGACATGTTTTGCCCATGGGTAATCATCGACGGCGAGGTGTCTAGGCTCCATTCCAACTCCGACAGGAGCGGGACGACCCACCAGGAATTCGGCACTGGTGGGCAGCAGCGGCGACATGGCCAGGAGCACCCGGTAGCCGAGGTAGTTGAGGAGCACGGCGGGCGCAGCGCCGTGTGTGATGCGGGCCAGTCGCTGCAGGAACAGCATCGACCGGACGGCCACCCGCTGGCTGGAACTCAGGGCCGCGCTGCCCTTGAGGACCGCGTTGGCGAACGCCACCCAGTCCCAGCGGTCCCCCGAAGGAATACTGGACAGGGACATCTAAAAGACATGTGTGCAAGTCAAAACTCGCCTTACACACGAAAAAAAAGAAAGTGCCTATGCGTTTACTTTTTTGCAAAGCACCCAGATAGCGAATCATTGCAATGGAGGGAGGGAGTTTGGTGAATGGCGGCGCCTAAAATATGTTGAGGCCTACGCTCTAGAAAACGTTTTTGAGTCATCTCCTGCGGAACATGGAGACACAGATACTTAATCACGGCGAAAAATGCCACGGACTCGCCACCCGCTGCATTCACTAAGCTGTCAATTACCACATAAATGAAGTGTGCGATGTGAGGCTGAGCATTGCATTTTACGTGATCGCATCCTTTTTTTAGGTTTAAACTCATTTTCGGACCGTCATTCGGCAACATCTCATCGTAGATTGTAGTGACTTGCTCATCGTTGAAGTTTCGGGCATAGCTGGTATACAGATATAATAAAATCAAAAACAGCGCAAAGACAAGGAGAAAGTAAAATGTGACCGACAGGACACATGCGCTGTGTCCAGTCGGTTTCCTCTTACTTTGTCCTCGCCTTCGCGCTGTTTTTGATTTTGTTATGACTTGCGCCCCGAATGCCCCTCAAAGGGAATCATATATCCCTCCGTGACGTCGCGGCCAACGCGCGAGGAGGGTCTTGCCTTTCTGTACATATTTGCTTTATCTTTCGACTTTCACTTAGCATTGTGGAAGCCACGAGAGGGAGATTAGAGTTTTCCCCCTCCGATGGAAACAAATACGACTTTCGGGGATTAGCTTCCTTCTCCGATGGATACAAGGGCTGCTTTCAGGGGCTCGGTTCTCCCTCCAATGAATACAAAGGTCGCTTTCTTAAAAAGTGGGATCGGAGACAAGTTGGCATCACTCTGTAGCAGCGGCGTAGACTTTCTATTTTCCCGGGGGGGGCAGGCTGAGAAGTCCTCCCGAGGGGGGGGGGGGGGGGGGATTCTGAGCGTTACCTTTTCGCCAGAACTGGACATTGAAGCTAACGAAAGCATGCTGGGATTCTATTTCCCATGTATTTTCTCAATAAAGGCAACGTGGGCGTCATTTTGTTTACATGCCACTACTAGAAGTTCGTTACATGGCACGTAAACAGTGTCTCGGTAAGGATCATGGCCCGGGCCCGGGGGGGGGGGGGGGGGGGGGGGGGGGGGGGGCGCGGGCGCGAGCTTTGATGTCCCCCCGAAGTCTACGCCTATGCTCTGTAGCCAATATCTATCCATTGAAGCGGAACAAGGAGCGTTTCCAGTGAACTCTTCTTTCGACTGCGGAGGGATTCGAAACCGGCGCATCACGCTCGTGGGAGGAGCTTCTCCTAGCTTCTTAACTTGTAACCATCATCGTGAGGATAGGGGAGGCTGGTCACAGGCTTCGGCAATTGAATTAGAAGGGAACACAAGCGTGTGGTGTTTCTTCCGGGTGCATAGTTCCGCACGTCCAACGAACGGCGAGCACCTTGAACAGCGGTAGGCGCTTCCTGGACGGCATGCTTTCCAGGGACTGGGCCAGCTGCCTCTCCAGGCCCACGATGGCGCCGACGATGCTCTCGTGGTCTTTGCCGGCGTAGAAGAGGCGCACCGCCCGCGCCACCAGGTCTCGGTACCAGTCCATCGCGCGGCTTTCGTCCAGGTGCCGGTGCCGCTCCAGAGGCAGGGTCGGCTGCGTTCACGCGCTCCCAATGAATGTCTTCGTTAGTGCATTCACAGTTAAACATCAATCTGAAAAATGATTGCTTAGCTTGCAAAAAGAAACGAGAGAAAAGGACCATAATCCTGTCCAGCTGCAGTCGGCAACCTTGCTGTAGTAATTTAAACGGAGCCCCCCCCCTAACTTTGGCAATCGTGGAAAAAACCCTAACTTGCAGGCTGGCATTTGGAACAAAAATGTTCCAAAAGCCGGTACTCATCATTATAACATTAATGACACCGACTTGACTTTAAAAATAAGTTTAATCGAACCAGACGTTTGGTTTCTCATACAGTATAGATATCATCAGTAATGCCGAGGTGGCAAGAATAAGAAGGCAAGACAACTACCGCTTTCTTAACCGTGTCATTATGGCATCACTGATGATGTCTCCTGCACAGGAGACACGCGCTTCGTCTGATTCAACTGCTCCGTTTGTGAAGTCAAGTCGGTGTAGTTCGTTCTATAATATCCCAATAGTTCCAATCCGACCTTTGTTACACTAAATGAAGATATATTTTAATGAGGACATAAATTGGGCACCGTGACCCCTTATGAGGGGAGTGCCTCCGGCCATTAAACTTATTAGCAGGGTTGTAAAGTACCTCGGAACAAGTAATTACAAATCGGTAACTAGGTACCTGTGTTGTATCTATAAGGTGCAAACCTATGCACTTTTATTTCTTTGTATCTTTACCCATATCTTAGGTACATTGCCCACTAGCTTGTAACTTAGTGAAGTTATTTTTGCAGGTATTTTTGTCCTCTTTAGCCAAATTATAGAAAATAAGAACGGGCAAGCATAGACGGGCTAACGTGGAGCCGAAGGGCACATTCAGTCAGGAATAACAAAAATCGAGATAAATTCAGATGGTCTCAGTTGCTTGCCGTGCTCCCATAATGAACACGCATTTGCACTGGATGTCCATCGAGTGCAAATGCCTATACCACCTGGGGGATTGTTCGGTCATAATCGTAAAGGTCTTTAAGTGGTGCACAAAAGACGTTTCTGAGAACGTCTGTTCTTGGTGATAACTCATTCTGCGGGATCTTAGCCTTCCAGAAATCTAAAAATTATGCTCGTGCCGACGTTATTTCCCTACTCAAAATGCGAGCGAAGTTCGTGCCACACCCCTTTCTGAGCGGAAAAATCTGGAGCACAGATTTCAGCGGAGGCGCCGGCGGCGTGACGACGGGGACGCGTCAGCCAATCGCAAGCGCAGGCGCTCAGAAAGGGGCGTGGCACGAACTTCTATCACATTTTTAGCGGGGAAATAGACGTAGCACGAGCATAATTTTTCTATATCTGGGATGCTAAGATCCCGTAGAATGAGTCATCCCCAAGACCAGACGATCTCAGAAACGACTTTAGTGCGGACGACAGATTTAAGAAGCCATGGAGGTGCGACGACTGCAAAAAACACGACGGGAAGGGCAGCCAAAAAGGCAAACCAAAAGAGGACCATAACACTGTAGTTATCCTTGCGGGCATAAACGCCAAACTGGTCAGCCTACAGTGGCGCCACAAGGTGGGCTGGGGCGGACCGCTCCGGGTGCAGCGCTCCGGGGGGGGGGGGGGGGGGGGGGGGGGGTGGCGCGGCGGGTTACGAGGGCCACGAGAAGGGGGGGGGGGGGGGGGGGTCGCCGCTGATTCTAGTGAAGCCACTGGTCTCATGACTCTAAAAGAAACAGTAGAGAGCATCGAAAAATCCCAACACCGCACAATTATGCTTTAGAAAATATATTTTAACGGAAGCAGCACATTTAGTACAAAAATAATTTAATCTAGAAAACTTCGAGAATAGAAAGCAAGTTCTAGGTGTATTTATAAATTTCACCAAAGCCTTTGATGGTTTAAATCGTGGTATCCGACAACACGAACTTGAACTGTATGGTTTTCGCGGTCGCGCACTAACACTTTTGCGTTCGTACTTTAAACATAGACAACAATATGCACATTTAAATCGTGTTCGTTCTATAGTTAAACCAATTACTTCTGGTGTTCCCCAGGGTAACATATTAGGTACGCTCCTATTCTACATATATGTGTATGATATAGTTAATAGTGACAACGAAGTAAAACTCGTTATGTATGCCGACGATACACCCTTATATTTTTCCGTCGACGATCCAAATTTACTTGTTACTCTTGCAAATAAAACATTATCCAAATGAAGTTCATGGGCAAATGAAAACTCACCGATAATTAACACAAGCAAAACGAAAGCCATTATATTTCGTCCTAAAAATAAACAAGTCTCCTACAATACCAGCCTAATCTTAAATAGGATGTTTTTGCGGAGCGCCAGTTCGTCTGCTTGTTGCACAGGTGTTGCGATGATGCCAGAACGCCGAGCTCTTATTGACTGATTGAAAAAAAAAATATATAGTAGGTAGACCTCAAGCGTCTAGCATGGAGATTATACCTAGTATCCTTCTGGGTCCATATCATATGAGCGAATGACGTTTTAGCAAACAGCGACATTCGAGCGAATCGACGTTTCAGCGAATAACGGGGGCGCGTGTTAACCCACTTCCCCGTGCTGCGTTTGCGCCGCTTCGCGGCGGCAGTCTGCGGCGGCTCATTACAAAATAGTTTACCCACTTGGCCGACCCGTAAACGCCGCTTTGCAGCGGCCGACTATTCGCTAAAGTGTCATTCGGTGAAACGTCGGTGTACGCTAAAACGTTATTCGATCCAGTGAGTGCCTCCCCTTGCCTTCCGCATTTGAACTGTGTGTTCTTTTAAAACACACGGCATAATGTTTTCTGAGAACATGTTGTGGGACCATTACGTAAATGGCGTCACCAATAAGTTTTCTTGCATCGTCGAGTTAGATGGTAACCGATCTGTCCTGCCAATTTTTGTACTATTACTTATTTACAACTCCCTTTTTTACTGATATTTAACTTATTGTCACCATATATGGGACACGACCACGTTTCAAATTTAGATAAGATATTTTTACTCCAAAAGGAAATAATCAGAATTGTCTGTAACGTTCCCCATGACTCTCACACTGCTGATTTATTTACACGCTTCGCAATGTTACTGCACAAAATTCATACAATTAAAAATTAAACGTTAGATAAAAAAAAAAAAAAGAATTCTCGCTTTTTAGCTGATTTTTGAACACTGGCCAAAAACATTCAGGCCCATCCTACTCGTCATACTGAATGTTGGAGGATGATCCCTCACCGAACAAATTATGGTAAGCAAATACTCAAATACACCCCACCGAATTTACTCAACAGCATTATAAATAGTGATTTGAACAGTAGCTAAACAACCGCAAAGTTTGTACAGTTAATGCAACAAAAAAAAAAAGTGTTGAAGATTGACTTTTAAATTTCCGGTTTAAATGTTTTTTTTTTTTTTTTTTTTTTTCTTGCTGCCGTTTTTTTTTTTTTTTTTTTTTTTTTTGTAGGTGGCCGTAGGCTTGTCAGGCTGTTCCTTTCCGCTTTTTTCCCGGCCTCCCTTCATCACAATGACGATAAATAAATTAATATTATTATTTTTATTATTATTATTGTTATTATTATTAATTTTGACAGCATGAGACGGCATGCGATCGTCGACTGCGCACTGCGTTGTAGGCGCTACCGAAAAGAAGTAACGAAAGACGTTACTCGTTACAAATAAAAGTGGTGCGTTACCGCCCCTACGTAACCTGCAAACAAAAGTAACACGTTAATAACACTAAACTGTAATGCACGTCATTTCTGCATTACTTGTTCTGGTAGGATAATGTATCACCTCCTCAATAGCGCGTTCACGACCCTTTAGTTGTTTTCGTCTCTCCTGAAGACATGTTTTCTACTCCTATTGAAGGAGGCTTTGATTGTTTGAAGGGTATTGTTAACTTTCAGGAAGAGTAACTAGACTTGAGCCAGAAAACGTCCTAACGCCGAAGCAGCGCGGTCAAGAGAGGGGTGCGCAAAACGCTGCCTCAAACTTAAAGCGAGGTGCTTCCTTCATTAGGACCGTACGCTGAGAAATTATATCAGCCTTTTCGGATTCCCAGGGCTTGAAAAGTGCTTGAGGCGAAGTTACCAGAATTCTGGTTCATAAAAAGTTATTGCTCGGTGTCTGAAAACACAAAAAATGCGAAATGTTTTTTTGTTTTTTTTCGCTCGTGGAAGTCTTGACAACGAGATATAATGAGTAACGTAATCCTATACGTTACTCGAGAATATTTACGCAATTACGTTCATCGTTTTTACTTGCAAAATGCAACGAACACGTTACTATGTTACTGAAATAAGTAACCCGTTACCAGCAAAAAAAAAATAGAGCAAAAAAGCACATCGATTGGGCACTTGTTCGAAAGGGCGAATAGAGCAGCGAAATTATAAAAGATGACATACTGCCAAAGGTCCATGGGGGATTGCGGTTTTCTGGCGATGACGCAACTACAAATTAAGTTGTTTTGAACTTGTGCTCGTGTATCCCCTTAGTAAAAAAAGGGGCCTAATTCCAAATATTTTCTCATAATTTGGAAGATACATCAGGACATAGAGATGGTATCTTTTATAATTTTTAGCAGAGAAGGTATCTTCTATGATTTGTAGCAATTTGCTTATTTTCGCCGAATCGGTGTGAGATGGCATGCAACGACGTTGCTTGGCACGTCAGGTGGTGATTTTTTTCCCAATACACTTTGCTTTCCCCACGCTTAGTTCCTCAACTGCGACTTTGGCCATTAAACGACCATGTTCTTGTAAGTCTATTTGCACATTTCACGACGACTCTTTGATACCAGTCTTGATTTTGGTTAATTCGGTGATTAATCATTTAAATCTTTAAAATCTTTTCTTTTACAATGCACAAATTTGTACGTCATGGGGGTTCCCCATCAACGTTCTGCACGACATTTTCGCCGGTCGAAATCTTCGTACCGCTACTATTTGCCGCTTTCATGAAAATATAAAGTATATTTTAAATAACTGTGTATGTACTTAAGTACATTCTTCAATGAGTATTTAGATATGTACCTCAGGTATTTTTCGCATGAATAACTATAACTGTATCTTAAGTTCATTTCTGAAGTAACTTTTACAACCCTGCTCATTAGTGCCCGCCACAGTTCAAGAAACTTCCTACCCTTCTTGCAAATAGCCCATTCAGCATTTTTCTTCTCTCGCGTATGGAGATGGAAAGGGAGGGAGCCTTTGGAAAAACAACAAAAGACTAGGACATCGCAAGAACGCACGATCATAGTAACGGCTTGAGTCCACAAGTGTTGTGTGGAATTTTATCACAGCAACCGATTCTTTGCAAATTGAAAAAAAGTTCGGAAGGGGTTCATTCGAATCGTTTATGATCGTTATTTTAAACGAAGGTGTTTTTCTGACTAGGCGTACATAGTCGAGACTTTCGGCTTACAAATGCTATCAAGTCGAAGAGCTGGGCGTGACTTACTGCTATTACACCGAATAATTCGTGGCCAGATAGACAGCAACTTGCTGTGTCGTCTTAACTTTCACGTGCCTCTACGTTCCAGTAGACACGCCCGTTTGCTTTATCCCGGCTCTCAGGAAAAACTTTGTCCGATCTCACGTTTCCAACTGTCTTCTAATGCCATATCATCAAATACTTCTTTGGGTGCTTTTGCAGACTATCTGTCTTCACCTCGTAATCATATTATTTTCCTATATACGTGTTGTTCACATTGTACGGACGTATGTGTCCCACATCAAGACTTCGGACGTTCTGAGGACGGAATAAAGTATGTATGCATAGTGTATGTACGTATGTATGCATAGTGAAGCGAAAATTGTCTTGAGGGCGCTGCTAATTACGACGGCTTTCGTCGCACCGCGGGCCAAGTTCCTTCTTACTGAGTGAGCAGGGGTCCATAGGTGCGCGGACAGGCAACGCCCCATAGAATAATCAAAGCCAGTGAACAAACTCCACTACGTAACGCCATCACACTTGAACGTCCTTCGACTCGTTGGTTGGATACGAGGCGGTGACGCAGTACTCCTGTCCGGTCTATGTCTGTGCGGTGGGGGACACGTCGGTTGCCGCACCTGTCCAAGCACGAGGAGCAGCTCCGGCGGTTGTTTAGGCCCCGAAGGCGGCAGCGATTCCAGCGTGGTCCGAACGAGCGGGAAGAGCGCCAGGGCACCGGCCACTTTGCCCGCGATCTGGGCCACGTCCCTGCGACCGCGGGGCGTGGAGTCGTACGGCCAGCCCTCCAGGCCCAGGTACTTGAGCACGCTGCCCAGGGAGTCAGTCTCGCGCAATGATCGGGACGCCGGCTGGAACCGCGAGCACGACGGCACAGGTGAACGACCAGCGAGGCACGTGGTCACTTCTTCCGTGCGGGGATGTATATACCTCGACCTCATCGTCAGAATGTCATGTCATGATGGCGCGTGACACCGTGACTTCAGATATAACACCATGATTTGCCATAGTGACGTCGCGTCACTTGACGCCCCGTGACACTGCGGTGTCATGGTGTCATCTGACGTGACCTGAGGTCACATCCCGTGACGTTAGATGACACCATGGCGTAACATCGTAACGTCAATTGACATTGTAAGTCGGGTGACATCATGACGTGACGTGACACTGCAATATGACGCCATAGTATCACTTACGTGCCACAGGTGCAGCGGCGCGACGATAATGTCGGGCGCAATGAGACAAAGTGGAACTGCATGCAATGCATCTCGAGCACACAATGGGATAAACTCGTATACCAAAGAGAGAGGGAGTTTTTAAGTTTTGTTGGAATAACAAGGTAAACGACCGATTGCGCAGATAGTCCAGACGTTGGGCAGGTACGCGTATACTATAGGTCAACTGTAGCGCCCTTCGACGGACTATACACTGTTCAGCACATACCTGGACGCAGCTGGCGATGAAGAGCAGTATCTTATGCCCAAAGTGGTGCTTGCTCTGTCGCACCTGGTCCACGTCCTGGTGCTGATAGGCACTGGCGAAGACGCGCAGACCGTCGTAAAGGAAGCCCGGGCTCTGCCTAAGGTATGGCACTGTGCGCAGGTCCACGCTGAGGCGCTCCCAGACGGACGAGCACACGTGGCCGTAGTAGTCCTCGCAGGGGTCCACGTTTTCGTCAAGTTTCTCGTCGAAGTAGTGCGCCTCCAAATGGCACACGGAGTCGTTGCACAGATATGGCGACGGGTTGTCCTTACCCGAATGCCAAGGACCCACCTGTTGGGGCATTGACGGTGACCAGCGCCGGAGGTTTGTTTTGCCCACTCTATATTGATTATCAGTTGAATAAAAGGGGCGGCGAGTGAACGATTTCACATGCATGCATTCGTAACAACAAGTTCAATAGACGTCTTCCATTTCCTTTCTACCCTTACTAAACACAAGTTAGAGGTACAGTGGCCTGCGATATGAGCTGGAATGCGCGAACGGCGACCAGGCAGTCTGCGAGATACAAATGCTATCATGCGCTGGGCAGGGTGTGGAGAGTGCAAAGTTGAACATCGCCACTGCTGCTTTTATCCTCCGCTCGCTGTACGTAGGCTGCGTATAGTCCGCGCTTCCTGATCACCATTCGCACATTTTAACTCATTATGTCGTAGGCCACTGTACGTACCTGGAAACTGGAAGCATCTGAGTAAAGTTCATTTTAGTGCCTTTAAAACGAAGTAACCAAAGGCCTTTTCCTGTTGATGTGACTATAGAGTTGCCCTCCACCAAACCCCAACTATAAGGGGAAAAAAATATGTGTCCCATTTATAAGATGGACGTGTGTTGTCCGACATGTCGGGCCTTTGGAGGAACCGCATAAATCAGTTTCACACTTTGCTATGTAATTAAGCGAAAAGATAAAATAATATATATATATATATATATATATATATATATATATATATATATATATATATATATATATATATTAAAATTATAAAAGGATGAGCTTTTCTGAGTAAACGAAAAAAAACTACAAATCAAACCCGTTTGCTCTACTGACGTCTAACCCCTGCTTAGCTCAGTTGGTAGAGCGCTCCACTTGTAATGGAGAGGTCCCGGGTTCGATACCCGGACCAGGCGGATTTTTTCGGTCGCTCACCAGTCACCTAGCTGTGTTTGGAGATTTATGTTTGTCCTTTGTCCCTCTTGTTCCCCTTCTCCAGGGATTATTTTCGTCAGCGCATCTCGTTCGCGTGGGCTAAGCCTATTAGTTCGTCTGAAAGCACAAAATGACATGGTGGGTCACTGTAACGTTTATTTCGGCTATAGCATGCTTATACCGCATAACTTTTGGCATGCTATTTATTTATGCAAATACATGAATCGGAAGTGAGGTCCTTTCCCAGTGCTGGTAGAGGTTATTCCTATATGGAGTATTCACCTAGTTAAAAATATTGTATGTAGACGAATTCCTTTTCGGTCCAATAAACATATATGCTCGGATAAGATCATATTAGCATAAGAACATATAAGAATAATATACGATTATATAAAAGGTTATAAGAAACTTATCAGTTTTTTTTTTATAACTTCTTATATACTCTTGTTTGGTTCTTTTATATTCTTATATGATCCTATTTGATCGTGGGCGTTTACTGGACCAAGATATTTACACAAATAATATTTTTCACTATAGGTGACCGTTATAGACACTTTTGGCGGCCAATGAATGCTCTATGCTGACACCTAAAAACAAAATGTCAGAGTAACAAGATATGAAAAAAAATTGAAAAAAGCTTTGTTTTTACATTTCGTTGGGTCACTCAGGGTCAGCGACGTAAGATACTCTCAGAACCACAAAAGACAATGCTGTCCAGTCATACGCACTTTTGTGGAGAATACGACCGCCAGGACGGGCATCATGAGCATTACCATCAGAATGGCGCCGGAGAAACCGACCTTAGCCGCTCCGGAGCCCACCAGGGCAGCTATGTCGGTGCGCCTCTCCCGTGGCGGTGGCATCAGGTTCAAGTCCCCACACGAAGCCTCATCTCCGGGACTGCTCAGCACCGGGCTAACCACTCGATCCGCAGTCTCCGCCATGCTTCCTACTACTGGATAACGATCACGGGGACAACAACACCTTTTTTCAAAAGTTCATCAAGCAACACTGGCAACAGCAACAGCAATACTTGTCGTTTCACGGATGAGTAAAATACGGTTATATATTACATTTCTAGGCTTTAAAGGTGGTTATGACATTGTAAGTAAGGAAAAACGATGGCCACAACTGGAAAGTATAATTTAGATTCACATTTTGTTAGGCTTTCACGACAGGTTTGCCGTTTGTTTCCTGTGAACTAAAGTTATGGCGGCGTCACGCATGCGCCGAACGCTTGGTGAGATCGGTCTATTGCGACGACCATTGTAAGGCGCTTAATTCGCTCTTGCCCTGCAAAGTGAACAGAGAAAGGCGAGAAAGGAGCTCGGGCACCTTGCAATTGAGGTGTCGGAAGCAAAAAGAAAGCAGAAACAAGACGAAGGGACTGATGAAAAAAGAAAAGTGGTCCGCCCGCTCGCACTAGTGACAGCAGTGAAATAAATGCCTTTTTAACGCTGAAATGCGTTTTCTAAACTGCCCCCGGCGGCTTGTTAAAAAAAAAAAAAAAAAAAAAAAAAATTTACATGTTGTCGGCGATGTGTTGTTGTTCTATGGCGGCAACAGTCGGCAAAATTCGAAGGCGCTACCAGACACGACCGAGAAAGCGAAGCTCCAAAGACCGACGACCGCGGACTCAAGAGTCGTCTGGCCGCAGGATTACCTACCGAGCGCCAGCCTGGCTCCACGGTAGCTCTCTACATGGGTGCTGCCTCAACATTACGAGGGGGTGATGAGGAGGAGGGCAAGCAGGGATGTTTTTCGTTTTTTGTTAGGGGAGAGCCAAACCAGCATCAAACAAGCCACGCATTCTTCTTTGTTTTGTTTAAACAATCCTTCCTTCAGTCTTTTTCTGTCTTCAGAACCCGCACTGTCTTCAATCCCTTCTACTTCGACATTCGAGACACGAAGAAGTAAGGTGGGAGCTTGCATATTGATACTGTTACAGCAATATCACAAACAAAACGATAGTAATGGCTACTATTGTACTAGGACGGAGATGTATGCGTAGAGTAATGCTCGCGATCAAAACTAACAAGTTGACAAAGCTAAATTAAGCATACTCGTATACTTATTCGGCTGCTCCTGTATCTAGAGCTTGATTCTCCTTACCATGTTTCACTGCAAAATCGCTTATTTCGAAGGATGTTTCGCTAGACAAAATCGCATTTGTAACCTGGTAAGGCGTTTTCCCGTGTGTGTGTGTGGGGGGGGGGGGGGGGCGGTTTTGTTTCCCCCCCCCCCCCCCCCCCCCCCCCAGGAAACTTTAAAATTTTCCGCCTATGCCTTATAGAGGAGCGTGGGTATAGACTATCACTAGGGAGGGGCACATGGGAATATACCAAATGAAGGAGTGCAGGGAGACATGGGCTGGACATCTTTCGAGGTTAGAGGGGCGATCAGTGAATTGAAATTTAAGGACTAGACAGAATGGATTATGCACGAGGGGCGAGTAAGATATATAAACATTTATATATGAAGAATCTGAAGACGAAATGGACAAACGGAACCCGAAAGCTGAAATTTAAATACTGCAACTGTCAGGTGATGGTGCAGAGCAAACTACCTCGGTAGAAAAGGAAGTGAAGAAGGTCGAGAGGAGACTGTGGGAGGATGAAATGCAAAGAAAATCGGATTTAGCTATATTTAGGGGATGAAAACAGGAAATAAGGCAAGAACATTGGTGTGATAACTCGCGAGGGAGATAGTTGCTGTTTAAGGCTAGAACGGGAGTATTGAAAACTATGACATATAGGGTAAATTGTAAAGAAATGGATAGGCGGTGTACCGTATGCCAAAGGGAAAGACGGGATAGTAGAACACGTGGTTTTGAAGTGCAGGGGCTTACTACTACTACCTCCGCCCCCCCCCCCCCCCCCTCCCTTCCTCCCTCCCTCCCTCCTCCTCCTCCCCCCCCCCCCCCCCCCTTTTGGTACGGGGTGACGGCTTTGGCCGGAGCGCTGGGGTTTGAATTGAGGGACGTACGAATAACTAGCACAGCTGGGGACAGAGGAAAATTGGGACTCCCTACCGCGTGGCTACGGCTCAAAATTCCAACCCTGTTTCCCAGTAAGCACTGTGTTGGAGTGGCATGGGGCAAGATTTGGCCAGACACAAATTAGAGACTCCCTCGCTGGTGGGTGGAAGAAAACAAAGAGTAATGTTTTTTTTGTTGTTTTTTTCTCCAATTTTTTAAAGTTTAGAAGGGTATGCACTTGGGATAATTGGTGATTTATAGTTTGGAGGCTAAAAGCGCTAAAAAACAACGGACAAGGGAAAGAGACCAACACCACAGAGCGCTACGTGCAACTAAAGTTTACTTAGTGAAAAACATTTCTGTACACATCGTGAAATCAAGACATGTGATGAAAGAACTACAACATCATCACACTAATGCTTATCAATCTACTATTTACTTTTCGAGAGATTTTAAAAACGCCACCTCAGAGTCAAAGAGGGCTATCGATGGAGCGCTGAGTCGCTGACACACACGCCTTCAACTTTCCTTCGTTTCAAGGAAAGTTCGAGGCACAAAGAACTTCCCTTCGTTCGGAAAGTTCTAAAAGAGAAGGCTTCATTTCAAGAATGTTAGAAGTGTTTAAGGACAGTGCTTCCGGACTCAATTTTACGAGTGAAAGTCCTGGAGATGGTACCTTACAGTTTTTAGATCTTAAGATTTTACTTCGGCATTCACATGTCTGTTGGGTTTATTGCCCCAGGGCTAAGAAAGGATGTTACCCTTTGATTCTAGTCACTCAGAAGTGATTAAGAGGGACATTGCCTCTACGTGCCTGAGGGCTACTTTAACGAAGTCCTGCCCACATAGGATAGGAGATAGCTTTAGGTTACAGGTTGTAAAACTGGAGGAGGGAGGCTTCCACCTACACTTGTTGTGGGGAGCAGCAGAGGGACTGGTAAAGAAACTTCGGGGAGGGTGTGGTGGTGTAAGAGAGAAGCCTAAGCGTAGACTAGTGGCGTTACCTTATGTGCATAAGGTGAGCCACAGAATAAAGAAGGTGGGGCAAAAACTGAGCTACTCTCGAAGCCTAAAAATTGGACAGAATATGTGGAAAAGTAGGACGAGGGGTGCTACGCGTCGGAGTATGTCAGAAGAAACAAAAGACCAGGTATGTGGAGTGCAGCGAAGGTGCGGTATACAAGATTCATTTATCATGTAGCAGAGTGTACATAGGCTAATCGGGTCGTTGTATACATGGCAGGCTCAGGGAACATGCACTGTAATATCTTCACCCTCGGAAAATTCGGCAGTACAATGTTACAGATGTGTGTGTGTCCCGAAGTTTGACATCACCATAATCTTAGCCAGAAACTGAAACAAAACTAGAAAGGAGACATCCGAAGCGTTCTTCATAACGAAGTGCGTTGAAGGCATGTGTTTCACTGTTCCATCGATAGCCCTGTTTGACTCTGAAGTGGCGTTTTTAAAAACTTTCAAGAAGTAAATGGTAGATTGATAAGCATTGGTGTGATGATGTTGCAGCTCTTTCATCGGATGTCTTGATTTCACGGTATGTATATTTATGTTTGTCCACGAGTAAACTTCAGTTGCGAGTAGCGCTCTGTGGTGTTGGTCTCTTGCACTTGTTCGTTTTTTTTTTTTAGCGCTTTTAGCCCCTAACTTTTAAAAGGTTAATTTGGCGTTATCCCGCACCGCCTGGGGATAGTTACATAAAGACAAAGGGGAAGAAAACTAACGGGGAGAAAAAATTATACTTTTGGTTTTTAGGCTAGGTTATAGAGGGTACAGCCGTTAGCGTCCATCCATTCATGGGCATAGCTTTCTACACGAAGGATGATTGGATTCGAGTTAACGCCGAGTGCTAACTAGGGGTGTCGCGAACTTTTGTCGCACCGGATTTTTAGGTCGAACTTTCGGGGTTCAACTGGGTCGAACCGGTTCGACGAACCTTCGAACTTTTCACCAGATTCGACCGGTTTGACTTTGTGGACACTGTGGCCAGACCTCGATACAAGCATGTCTAGGTTTGGAGAATTTTTTTTTTTTTTTATGCAAGGGGTTATTTTATTTTATGAACAGTTGCAATAAAAGAAACCAATTCTAAACACTGAAGAAGTTAATAATTTAATTGTTTGTACTGTATTAACTGAAATAACCAATAAGCGCTTCCCTTAATTCATCCCTTAGCCATCACCATCAAATCCGAAGCCAACAGGCCAGGCTGTCGGGCATGCGCACACGAGTCGAACCTCAATACAAGGTTCGTCAAATTTTGTACTAAAAGTTCGAAAAAGTCGAACCTGGTCGACCTCGAACCTCGGCCGGTTCGCGACACCCCTAGTGCTAACGCAGCACTGGTGTCCAATGCCCAATGCCCAATTTGGACCCAGTACGCGCCGAACGCTGACGCCGCACTGGTGTCCAATGCATGCTCACGTGCATGCTCAGAGTATGACGCTGATAATCGATGCAGCAGCTACTCGAGGAGGCGCTGCTCGAGGGCGCACACTTTTGAAAAGGGTCTCACGCAGCCTTGACGTCACGCCCCTGCGGTGGCGCTGTTGTCAGAACGACGCATGCGTAGACGCTTCACTTCACACGAATCTGAGTTCTGCATATGCGCAGTGCCCACACCCGGTCTGAGCCAATGCTGACCTGTTTATAAATATCGTGTCGGTCTATGAATGGCTTGCACTGACGTCACATCAACGGCTATTGTGAAAGAACTTGCCGAACTTGCTGTTGGGTGCCAACCCACTGGAGCATATATTTTGCATAGTCGAATCTGTTTTTCTCGGCAAGGACAAGTCGGGATGATCAGATCTGATGACGTTACGCGCAATGACGGAGGGTAACGAATTGGATGAAGACATGACGAGACGTTTTTCCAGTTATTTTTAGAGCGCAGCTCTTAGGCGCCTGTTTCCGGCTTGAGCGGCGTCGCCGTCGGCGGAACCGTAAGGTCACGTGGCACCACGGGTCAGGCGACCCCTCCCCCCCGGTCACGTGACCCCCCAGCAGTAGGAGGGAGGTGGAGGAGGAGGGGGAGGAGAGAGGAGGTGAGGGGAGGAGGTTGAAGGATGAGAAGGTGAAGGAGAAGGAAGGGTGGAGGAGGAGGATGAGGGGAGGAGTAGCAGGCAGGGATCACGAGGGAGGAGGAGGGGTATACCCTCCCCTCAGTACCCTTCCCTCCTCCTCAAGAGCTGCGCTCCAATTCGGCGTTACAGGGAGTTGTAAACGGCTTTCACTTTTGGGCCAAGGCTTGCATGATTTCGTGAATCAAAATATAGAGATGAATAGAAGATGTCATATAAAAACTTATGATTCCATTACAATAAAGAGGAAAGCAGGACGGGGGAGGGGGGATTCGCCAGTTATGGAATGCCATACATCTGCCTAACATAGACGCGAACAAAAAGAAAAATAAGTATTTTCCGATAAAATCCTGCAGCATTGAAATGTATGTGTCTAGCTTCTGCGACTTATTTACGAACCATTTGAACCGTCCAGGCCACGGCCGTTTTCTGAACTTGCGGGGTGCGTGCTAGAAGCAGTGCCAGCGGGGAGGGGCAAAGATTCACCTAGACCGGTGTTCATTTCTGGATTCTACTGAAGTCTCAAGTGCCCAGCCCAACACTTCTGCAAACCACATAAAAAGAATGCTTGGTTCGGACGAGTTCCAACATGAGCTCGAGAACCGTTGTTTTTTAATGACATGCTGTAGCGCTTATCGCTCCTCCTATTATTTTTTTATTAGTAAATTTAGGGTAAATTTATATAGAAACAACTTCTAGAGAACCGAAAAATTAAATCAAATCACAAAATAAAATACTGACACATATCGTCATGTTCGCAAGTTGTAGGGGAGACACATATCGTCGACTTCATCGGGTGCAAGAACAATCGCCTGTAAACCTTGATACAAAATGGCGCTACACATGAGCTCTCGGTAGTGCTCCTCTTGGTTTTACCCACGGTTTTACTTTGGTACTCACTGTGTGTCTCCCCTACAACTTGCGAACTTTATTCCAAAGCCCCTTGGTCGCTTCTTTTGTTACTGTAAGGGTTCAACTGCAATGGATGACTTACATAGTGCCAGTGGCGTGGTGACGTTTACGTCCACAGACCGCGTGCCGCTGAATGCCGTTAAACTTTCGAAAGCGCAAGCTGTGAAGTATCAGTACCAGGTCGTCGACAACTGGAAGCCCAGGAGCGATGTGTAAGGAGTTTTATAATCATTCCGATGCACATGGTGTACATTCGCATCATTTCAGCTCCTGGTTATCTCTCTCGGTGCTACTGTAACTCGGTGGAAGTTGTGCCATCACTGGCATTGATTCGCGTTCCTTGATCAAAGCAGATGCGCTCGGTGGCGATTTTTAATTCTGAAATTACGCAACCTGTGTTCGGGGGAAATAGTCAAAAGAGCCCGGTAGCGACACTGCGGTGCCGCGGCTCTCGAGAGCCATTACAAATCATTGTTATTACCTGGTTGTTGGCGCGCTTCGTTTGCAACCCATTTTTATCTTTCCCAAACTGTCTCGTTCAGAAATAAAAGTAAAACCAAAGTTTGTTTCTTGAACAGATAGATGATTAGGACACCGTTCTCCGCATACCTAGCTTTTGTATTTTAATCAAGTTTTTTAAACCTGTTCTTTAAAACTGTCGGAATCGGGCATGATACACGATTATGCTTGTGCATGAGGGGGCACTGTTCGTACTTCTCAACACTGGTCCACTTTTCCACTGTGTGCGACTTCGGGTTTAATCATGCTGCAGTCTGAAGTGTGGTCTTCATATCGGAAAATCCAAGACACCGACAGATCCCGTCAACATTGTCCGAATCAAGGCCACAAGTACCACCACCATTTCTTGTCCGTCAGCTGGTCAGTCGTTTGACAGCAGTTGTTTTAAGGACAATATACTTTAATTTGCCCGGCGACGCGCAGTTCCATGAGAGATGCGGGGCTTGCACGCCCCTCGTTCCATTCTTTAAAACATTTTGCTCTCTCGCCTCTCATCTTTATTATTTTTCTGCATGTTTCTCAACAGGTGGCCAATAACATGCGGCCCCCTAATCTCTGGATTGGCTGCAGCAGCGGGCGGCATGAAGCTCAATAGCATCTTCCGAAGACACTACCAGCTGAAGACATTTGCGAGAGTTGCAACTTACATGCCCATCGCCATTCTGCCTGGAGGGGCTGCCCTGATGTTGCATACTGCCATCTCTGCAGACATTCTGATCATGAACACCAAGTGTGTGGTCTGCACACAGACAAAGGCCATTGCATGCCAGCTGGTCTTCGGCGTCCTCTACCCCTCGGTCATTGCTCCCTTGGCCTGCCTAAGTTTTGCAGTGAGGTACAACACCTACGCAGTGCCGCCCGTCAAGACGCACTACAGGCATATCTTCATTGACGCGACCACCACACTGAAGAAAAAAGGGAACACGTTGGCCGCTCTGTCGGCCGCTCAGTGCATAGTTGCCTTCCTGCTCATGCATGGACAAATGAATAGCGTCTTCAAGATGCAGAGGAAGCTGTCCGAGATGTGAGGTCTTTCTGAAGGTGTAGGAAGTGGTTTAGAGGTAAATGAACTTAATAAATTATACAATAGCACCAGATGTTCATATGTTTTTCTCCTCTTGGCAAGGCCATGGCCTGTGGCCATGGCCTTGCCAAGAGGCCTTTAGACGACAGGACTTTTTAGGGGCGAAGCTCCTTAGGGTTTAGCCTTGTCCATCTGTTTGTCCGTCCATCTGGCGTTCGTGCTCACATAAAAAGAAAAAATGTTTGCGCTGTCAACAGGATTCGAACCTGTGCGGGGAGACCACAATGGATTTTTAGTCCATCGCCTTAGACACTCGGCCACGACTGCGGGACAAGTAGGCGGCTCGGAGATGTGGTGGTAACTCAAGAGCTGGGGTTTCTGTTATGAATCATACATTGCATGTAGCCACTCAATGTCTATACAGGAGAGGGTGCTGCAGTCAAATGCATATATAATCGTGTTAAACTTTGCATGCATTGGCTCAACGTTTATAGACGAGAGGGCTCTGCGGTCCAATGCTCAAATGCGTATATAACCACGTTCCATACCACATATTCTCTTTCTGACATGGACCGTTGACTTAAGCAGTGGAGATGCGTTCCTACGGCTTCTAGCGGATCCGCTAGCAGAACCGCTGGCTCTGCCTTTCACCGACCATAAAGCAGTAATAATGAAGTCGAAACGCAACCCGGAACTCAGCACTGCCTATGAGCAATAAAAAAAGATCAGCACCATGAGCACTGCCTATGAACAATAAAATCAGTATCATCAGCACATCCAGAGCTTCGCCCCAACCAATATCATTCACCACGTGGAGATGGGGTAATTTTTTTCGTTCCGTCCACTGCAAAAGCATTTGCTTGGTTCTACTGTAGGTGCTTCTACTTGCAAAGTTCTCAGATGAAGTTTTTGGAGAAACTTTTAAAGTGACGCTCATTTTTACGCTTTACAGTCCTTTTCATACCTAGCATATGAAATGTACTAGTGACTAATTTTGACATTATTAATTACACAGGTGTGAGCAGCCTATGCTTTGATGACACCAAAATGGAGTCTTGCGTTGTCTGCTTATCCTTCTGGAGCAATTGTCATTCCCAGAATTTCTGAGTTGACCAAGCGTGACTTTGTGACACAAGAGTAGCGAGACAGATTTTAAGAAATGTGTTGTAGAAATCGAGCGGTCTACTTTTCTCCATTAGTGCGAGGACGAGTACTTTAAATTAAAGCACAAATTTTAATTTGTATTTGAGGCACAATTTACTTCCCCACACTGAGTACTCGCACCACTCACTAAAAATACAGGACACTTGCAAATACCCCTGAAAAGAAAGACTGCTAACCCCTGGACTTGGAAGTGATTCAATGCAGCTGCGATCGCTTGAGCAGGTCGTGTTTTCACAGAACGATGTGGGTATCGGGACCTTGCGCCGATCCTTCCAAGTATGCTTGGAAGTTCGCGTTCATGCAGAATCAGGCCTGCCGAGATGATCTGCCAAGACTTCCCAGTTCTCAACTGTGCACACACAGAACCCGTGTCCACTTTCCATTCGTGTCAAAAAATTAATTCTACACGAATAAAAAAAAAAAAAAATTCAAAGCAGTATTGACGGCGCGAAACGTATATAGTTGATAGTCACCTCCCTTCCACTTGTTTTCTCAGCATTTCGGGTGTATGGAGGAAAGGTGGATTGGCTTCGCCTTCACGTTTAGGCGGAAAGACCGAATGACCATCTCGTTGAGCGAATGACCATTCCACGACCACTTGAACTTTGTGCGCAAAATTTAAAATAAATCTCGCCGTCAATATTGCTAAAAAAAATTTTTTTTTTGTGCAAAAATTTTATTTTTTACATGCATATCCCAATTAGACTGCTTAAGAAAATCTGTTCTTTCTTTTCAGGGGCCCTTTAAGACTGCTTACGTGTAGGAAGGCAAAAGCATGCTTACGTGTAGGAAGGCAAAAGCATTATAGTCCTGCGGGTGAAATGCTTTCAGGTAATGTTTCCATGTGTATTAAAGTTGAGGACGACGGTCCTAGAGACGGATGCCAAGTACGGTGTCTAGGACGTCGTCTAGGATGGCGCTGAGGACGACGTCAAGGACGACTTCTAGGATGACCTTTAGGACGACCTTAAAGGGGCCCTGCAATCATATTTAAGCGTCTACCTTTTTTGCGGTTTCCACAACCCTCGGGGTTCGGGCAAGCCAGCGGGCACGGAGAGAGTAACTAAATATCAGTGCATCATATTTTAACCGGGCGACGCGGAAACCTCCTCCACCGACGGGGGCGACCCGCGGTACCGAAAGCGCGCAAAATGTGACGTCTTTGGTCCTTGGCCTGCTACTGGTCAGAGCCGCTCAAAGCTTTTTTTTTAGTCGAAATACAAAATATAAGTGGCGCGAACTGTTTCAATTATTTCTAAAAGTAATTTTTGTTCAGTATTTTAGATCGGAAAAGAAAGAAATGCAGTTTATGAAGCACGGAAACAAGAAATGACGCGTCGACGTACCCGCCACCGAGCGATGGAAAAGGTGGCGCATACTAGAAAAGAGTAGTGGGATCAGGAGCCGACACGGAAAGGCCCCGGATGTACGCGGCGGCGCTGCGGTCGTTTACGGACTGGAGGATCCGACCGGCTCCGAGCGTTCCGAAGGCCTTCAGCGAGTAGGCTTGTCTTGCGTTTTGGCCATTTCGCGGTAAGGCAGCACGAAGCGAGTCCCATTCTGAACTGATCTTTACCCCGTGTTTGCTGTCGTTTGTGGCCAATGAAGTGTCATGGCGAATTAGTGTTCAATCGCGCAGCAAATGCAATGACAGCCGCTCTGGCTGCCCGCTGTATACAGCCTATCCAGAACACGCCTTAGTGGCGCCCTCTCGCGCCGTCGACACGGAGTGCGGCAGCCGTGAGCACTCGCTGAGCTTACTATCCCTCCTCTAGTTCACGGCCACTTTCAAGCAACCAAGGACGTCATGAGGGAGGTTATTTTTTGCTTGTTTTTGTAATTTTAATTTGCCTATAACTTCTAAAATAAAGCGAAATTCGAGAAAAGAAAAGTTACATTAAGTTACTATGGTCAGTGAGCTCAGGTTTGGTGCAAATTAAAAAACAGTAAAAAAGCGCTTGCAGGGCCCCTTTAAGGATGACGCCTCTAGGACGACATCAAGAATGATACCTAGAGGATGACCTGTAGGACGACGTCTGAGACGACTTTAAGGACAGTGTCGTCCTTGAGCATACGATTGAGTGGCCGCCTGAGTGGTCACGTAAACCTTTTGGTACCTTTCATGTCGCCGACGTGTTTTCGCTGAAGGACTTTGAAGGTCGACTGAACGATGAGACATTTACGGCTTTCACCTTATTAAGTATTGTTATACCATAATAGCCATTCCCCTTAGTATGGCTACTGGGCTGAACCAAAAACGTAATCTGCGACACAGGGTATAAAAAGAGTGTATGCTATATTTAGAATTCCGTAGTTTCAGATAAATCCGATAGTCTGAAAAAATGCTCGCCAGTAAGAATATTGCAGATCGATTTATCCGAAAAACAGAATTTAGAAACTGCCATTTAAAAAAGCCCCGACTGGTTTTTGTATTTTCTCGGCATGCTGGGACAACTTTTTCAATTCCCTTTTTCTTGTTTTCACTTTTGCTTACAGGTGTCACAAAGGAATGTTTCTTGAACCCTTATCACAACAGCCTCGCTGCGACAATAGTCTAACATGTTCAACCGCTTCAGCCGTTACACTTTGGGCCCTCCTACTGGACACGTTTCTTACTTAGACGTTCATCAACCTTTCTCCCTCCTGCTTTCGTTGAAGACTGAACTTATATTCATGCTCCCATGTCCCGTCTGCCTTGATGACAGGAACTAAAGATTCAGTCAGACTTTCTCGGCAGCTGCACGCAATGAACAGGAAACAAAAGTTCTCTGTTGATTAAGCCACGGAATAATGTTTCAGACAGGTGTCTCTTACACATCTCTTTCTACGACAGACCTTTCCGAAATTGTGAAATGATGTATAGATTATGTGCAGCCGCCATTAGTTGGTCTTATCGCTTCCGGCGTGAAGCCCACGATTGGTTCAGAGTTTGTGCTGAGCACTGAGGCAGCACTTGTATTGAATGCGTTTCAATGCAAGTACACTCCGAATGCTGATGAAGCACTCATGTCTGATGCGTGCTCATAGTGCTTGACCAAATTGCGGCCGCACATAATCTATGCATCAATTTGAAATTGGTCTATTGCCGCAGCCTTTATTTCCTGCGAGTTATGCTGCATGGTTAGCGTAACTAATAAAAAAAGGTGTCGTCCACATTGCTGAATACCAGGATTCCAATCAACACATCCAGCTAAAGAAACTTTGCCCCAAGATAGGCAAGCATACTGAGTTACTAAATGTATGCGCTTATTTCTAAGAAAAACCATTCATATGATGGAAGGCTCAGTTCTTTTTGTGTTATGAATGAGATTTCTGTTTCAATCAACTTTCCGACTGCTGTTCTGTACCTAGGCCAATGACATCAAACATCCGGAGAGCTAAGAAGTTTGTGGAAGATGGTCAAAAGCACCCTACGACTTTTGCTCAGATATAAACTGAAAAAATGCAGAACCCTATCTATATTTTATAAAAAGTTAATAAAGGGGCTGCACATTGATGCACTAATACAAAACTTTATTTCCATATTTTTGGATTGTACATTGGCATTCCAAGATGCCATTCCAATATGCAATGCTAGCTTTTCTTTTTGAAACAGTAAATTGATGACTGAATATTAAGATACATTTCATGTCATGCATACACATTCACACGATATAGCCTATATACGTGTATGATATAAAAAAAACTTCAGACAAAACACTCAACAAGCAATCTATAAGGCCCAAGAACTTCAGTGCACAGTCAGCACATTACAGTCTACAGCATTTCTGTTCAGATCGACAAGACCGCAACTTATGTGGAAATGTCTTTTTGTAATTTTAATTGCATTCTACGAGATCATAACTATACAGTTAATGAATTGGCCATGCCAATTAGATGTGTCCTCTCATTAGAGTACAGAAACGCAATAAGGTAGGCCTCTTCTGGACACTGCCCTCTGGAACTTTATCCTCATGCTGTACATCCACAATCCAATCACGTTTGCTATCTTTAATTCCTCAATACTACACTTAAACTAAGTACAAATGCATCATGGCAAGAGCTCTGGGCATCAAGCCTGAGTGCACATTAAGTGCACCTAGTACTCAGATTATCTCACCTTGCAACAAAGTCGTATAAAAAGTCAAACTTACGCAGGTGAAACCAGAACAAATGATACCTTTCACACATTTTTTAAAAACTAATATGTAAGGACTCTGTGCCTCCGTACTCAAATTTATAACCTCGATTCTGGAATTGTCTTACAATATCACGCCCAGCTTGCACGATGTGCAGCTTTTTACAATGCAGCATCGAAACACATAGAAACGGATTCCCACAATTCTGCAATGCATTTTGACCAGTAAGAGTGGAGATCATGCCACAGCACCAATGGGGTAGGGATAGTACGCCCTCCTGCAATATGAAAGACCCATTAGAAAATGCAATTTAAGGTGGATCTGCCGAATTCGCTTTGACAAGGACAACTTTTCTTAATACGAAAAAATTGATTAACCTTTGTTCTTTCCCCTCCCTCAAAATTTTATGTGTCTGGCATGTATGGGCTTAAAAAATCCCTAAAAAAAATTTTTTTTTTTTTAACAGTCTGGTTGGGACATGCGCGTCAAAACATTAATTTTACGCGAAAAAAAATCTTTTAGAGCAATACTGACGGCCTGAGATGCGATTTAGTTGGTAGTCACCTCCTTTCCACTTGTTTTCTCTCTTGGCGTTTTGGGCACATGGAGGAGAGGTGGATCGGCTTTGCCTTCATGTTGAGGTGGAAAGAGCGAATGACCATGTCGAAAAGGTCGAAAGGGCAAATGACCATTCTGTGACGTCATAAAATTTGCACGCAGAATTTCCAATAAATCTCTCGTCGTGAATATTGCCCAGAAATATAATTTTTTTTTTTCGCGTAAAATTTATATTTTGACGCATGTCTCAAACTGTTTAAAAAATCTTTTTTTCTTTTTTCCTTTTGAGGGGCCCTTTTCTTTGAGGGGCCCATAAACTGAATAGGCAAATGGGTCTTTCATATTGCAGGGGACCGTACAGTGTATCCGATCAACACAACATATCCCTTAATGTCTCTTGCATAACCTAGAGCTGACTCTGACTCAACTAGTATGCAAACTTCATAAAAAGAAGAAGAAAAAAAAAATTAACGACAACAATCCTTTGAACAGCTCCCAAACATGCCACCTTCTTCTCTACCTGCACTTCCCATTTCGTTACAATTGTTAGAGATGACCTAGTATTAATGAACATTAAAACACACCAGTCCCAACACCACCAGCAGTAACATGAACCCGTGCACCACTCAGATTGCCTACAAGTCAGGAACGACACTACTTGTGCATACACACACCATCAAAGCTTTTACACTGTTGCATGGTTGCAGTTTCCAAGTTTCCTTTTTTTTTTTTTTTTCTTTTTCCTTTCGCTTTTTTTTTTCTCTTTATGCCTGGCATATAGAAATTAGCCAGGGCCATATCTAAGCATGCAGAAGAATAAAGAGAAAGGGGGCAATTATTATGCTAATAACAAAACAATAGGAACATAATTGCTGAGCGTCTTGGCTTCTTAACTTTCCCTCTTAAAACCACCTCATTGCAATGGGGATGCCAGGCTAGGACTTGTCAAAGCAATCGCTAATGTGCATGCTGAAATAGCCTTTCTCTATTACACCACTGCACAGCCATCACTCTTATTATTACTACCTAGCGCAACAAAATTTTGATTGGCCGTGGAGGACATCTTGAAGCCTATCTAACTGGCTTAATTGTAGGGCTAATTTTTTTTTTTTTGGAAAACAAGTGAATTTAACAAAGGCTATAAGGAAAAGCGCCAGCAGTAATAGACCGATATCGCAAGCCAGTTTGGTTGTGCCACCGCTGCTGGCATGCATCGAGGGAACTGTAGTCTTTCTGCACGCGTGACAACCCTGCTGCGGGTGTGCATGAGCATGGCACGAGACGACACAAGCTGTCTCGTGCACTGGCACCTGCATCCTGTGAACAGTTATGGTGATGTCACGCATGCATGGAATGCTTAGTGACATCGGTCTATTGGCAATATTGTGGAAAAAAAAAAAAAAGCTGAGAACTCCAAGAGAGACAAACAGCCTAGTTATGCCACTACTGAGCCAATTACCATCAGGATAAGAACAAAACTGCCCGAGAGTTCTAATATTATACTGACTTCACATCAAATGGCCTTGCAGATGTATGAAAGCTAGCTGGGACAACCCATACATCAAGGCCATCCCAATACTAACTTCATGCTAGTTTTCATCAACCTGCAAAGAACTTTGCTTTTATGAAATCCTTTTTCCATTAAAGGAAGTCATAATCTGGCCATCAGATGAAACTTGCATCCAGTTTAGAAGTGCTGTCAGCAGAAAGTGCACAAAAATTCAACTATAAACTGAAACAAACACTATGATTGCTAGCAGGCCATAACACTAAGCAGCGTACCCTGTCTAAGGAACAAGTGCCTGCTTTCCACAGTGCTCAGCAGCACTTAAGCTCATTGTTCAGAATAAGTTTATACGCAGCCAAATTCCTATAGAAGGCAACACGCATCATAAACCTGCACTTTGTCATCATTACATAATGTTCCAGTCGCTATAGGGCCAGCCTCAACGATTCAGGCCACAGAATTTGCTATTCAAAAGCAGCACAATTCAGCATAAGCCGCAAGTGCACGCTCGTTCGTTTATTTTCTATAGTTTTCCTTCCTCCCGACTTTGCTCCAAGTCAACACGCAAAACAGTTCAACCAAAGTGCACTAATCGGCAAGTTCATGTAACGTAAACTCCCCTCCCAAATCACTCTGGTGCGGTTTGGGCCCTCGCATTCTACGTTTTTCACAGCACCGAGCTCAGCAAGTATGCTCCGTGACATAATGCGAATGACCAGCAACAATGAACTATTTAGATCCACAACTGCAAAGTCGTTCCTTGGGTCGACCGCAACCTGCGTCGTGCAGCGCTGTCGTCGGCAAAGAAAAAAAAAAAAAAAAAACTCCTTCGCAACTTAAAATCTTATGAAAACAATCGCAATCTGCACAAAACAGGCCTCCGCGTAACATGATGGTACAGGTTTTGCAACAGAGGGCACTCCCTTTTAGTCACGTGGCACACGAAAGGCAAGCCGACTCACTCTGCACAAAACTCGTTGCGGGTTCTGCACGTACCTACCTCGGTGAATGTATGAAAAAATTCCTATCCCCTCCCACAATGCCACGAAATCATGCTTGCCTCATGAAAAAGCACTTGGACACACTTTGAAAAAATAATTATGGCTCGTCATTTTTTTTTTTTCCTTTTAACCTGGCAGTGTATCAACATCTTCTCGTAGGTGCAACTGATGCTGGGGAAAGGACCCTAGACTCCCTCCTTCGGCGCAAAGGATCACGAGAGAAGCCGGCGCCGCCCAGACCAGCTCGTCTGGCGGCTGCGCTCTGAGAGACTCTGTGTTCCACTTTGCAATGCATGATGAGCAGAGTGCTTCATTGTAGACTGGTGCTAAGTACGAGAGGTATTAGCGATCATTAGCTGTGTCGAGAAAGGGGTGTCACAAAGGAATGCCGGGGACCTTTTGAGTTGCCTCGAACCCAACCGGAGACTTGGGTGTTTGTGGAGCATAAAACTGACGGCTCCGCAAGCTATGCATCTTGCTGTGTTCCTGTCCAATTCATGGCGTGGCGATTGCGTGCACAACGAAGCACTTTATGTTCTTAGCTGCCTTCTCATTCAGACTGTGAGAAGGCCGAGTTTGACTTGAAAAGATAAAGAAGAATTACATATATAAATAGCGCAAGAAAAGAAAAAAAAGATTAGATGATTGTGTATGGAGAGCCCACCGGAAACAACAGAACCTCGAGGGACACTCAAGCATAAGGTAACCGTAAAGAACACAAAAGCAGAAAGTCTAAACAAACGACACACATCTCGCGACCGACGCATTGCAGAGAGAAACAAGACGAGAGAAGAGCACACGCATCAAGCAAGTCGCCGAAGTTGCAAGAAAAGAACCAGCAGCTCAGATAATCTGAATAATAGAGAAAAGAAATTTGCATACAAAATTTGCCCATCATGAGATTGGTCCAGGTAGCACGCAAGTGCAAGTGGTTTAACAATGCGGATATAACCCGTTGCACCGTGCTCATGGCCTTCCAAGTCGGTCCTCGCGCACGTCTTGACGAAAAGACTAACTGGCAAAGGCAATGGAAGCCTGGATGAAATTCGTTTCCCTCATTTCTTGTCTATCTATTGGTAGCGCGGAAGGGGTGATGCACCTGAGGGACAGGAACAAAAAAACACGCCTCTTGATTGTCTGAGGTGCATAACCAACTCGATGTACCGCTTCAACGTCCCACACCTTAAAACACTCAAAATAAAATCCGAAAGGACAGCCTTCCCAGGGAACGGATAAGGTAAAAATGAATGGCCCACGACCTCATGCTCTCTTACAATCTTTTAAACAAAAGGTCTGTCCACGCTGTTTACATTCAAACAAGAACCAGCTCCGAGCCGCACAAAACAACCCCGACTGTCGCGTGATTTCTACTATTACTGCGCAAGAACAAAGCAGGTCAACTCGATAACAGCGTGGCACAGGCAGCCCCCTTGCAGGCAAGCCAGAAATGAGTTAATGCGACCCGCACACTCCCCCTGCATTCAGTCGTCAGTGAGCCCCACCATATGAAAAGGCAGCCCCAAAGAGGGCAGTTTCCCGGTACTCCCTCAGACAATCGAGAGGACAGCCTAGAAACAACCACAAAAGGGAGAGGGGGGGAGATGCAGAGCATTGTGACAAATGGAGGCGCCGAAAACCTAAACACAACAACCGAGCCTCGAATGAGAGGCCGCCAAACGTAACGGGGGAAACCACATGAAAGATATCGTCTAACCGCGAGCCAACTGGACGACGAGGCACTGGGAGAACCGTCCAGAGTCCTCTCGAAAGCCCGACTACCCTGCCAGGCGTCGCCCTCGCCCGACGGCCCTACGTGACTGTCCCCTTTCGGGGATACACGGCCACTCCGAGCGTCCCCACGAAAACGTTCCGCGGGCCGACAGCGGACTTCTTTTTGTCTGGAACGAAGACGACAGATTCGCCCGACGAGTATTGGTGCTCGTTGTAACGAAACTGTCGGACCCGAAGACGGAGTCCACGGGATCGTCATCCGGACAAAAAAGCGCCGCGACCTTCCCGATCTGGCCCTGGGTGAACGAAGGGGATGAGGGGGAGAAGCAAAAGGGGGAGCATGCTAGGCACGGCCGGCAGCCCGGAAACTGGAGGCGAGGGGTGCCGCCGCGGGGTGGAAGGAAGGCCCTGGTGGAAGTATGAAGTCGCCGTTGACTTGGCCAGGAGGGGGGAGGCTGGAGGCCCCCACCGATGCTAGCACTGGCGGTTCCTCCAGAAGTCCCGATACTCCTGGTAGCTAATGGTGACCTTCTCACTCTGGTAGCGCGTCAAGTGGATGGACTTGCGCATCTCGTTGGAGATGGAACCCTTGTAGCCGCCCTTGCGCAGCAGGGAGTCTATCGTCTGCACGTGGTCCCAGCCTGCGTCGGAGGAGGGAGGGAGAGAGAGGGGACGGGGAGGTCGCCTTCGCCGAGCCCCGGAAGGGACGGAAAGACTGCCTCGACTGAAAGAGAGCGAGGAGCACGACCGCGTAGCCACACACCCGACCTTACCCCCGATACCACGACCGGTTCTTTTTTCCTTCGTTCGTGTTTTTTCACAGCAGGCCTCCTCGTTATATACCATTGGTCCCTAATGAAATGCAAAAAGCCGAGCTTCTGGCATTCCATACATGCTGCATTACCACGAGGGCCCCTCGGAAACAGTGAAACTGTGCAGTAAAGATGGGGGGCTCTACCGCACACTTTTACGAGTCTTTCCTTGGTGGCTATTAGACAGTGCAGTGTGCATTGAAAGGCACACACTCCGTCCTTTACATCCATTATGACCTGCATTATTACTCATTAGATTATATGAATGAGGACGCCGTGATGAAAACACTTGCTGTGCTCAAACATGCTCCAAAACATGGGCACACACAATAAATACAACTAATCCTGTAGCATGGTCACGCAGGTGGAAGGCAAACAATCACTTGCTGAAGCTATGTGAAAGCTGTCTCAAGCTGAAGAGGGAATAATTAAGGAAGGAAGTACAAAAGGTGATGAAGAATATTATTTCAAAGAGTTTAGTGGATCTTGCCTCTGATGATTTGCATGCCCAGGTTGCACGGGCTTAGGCTGCTATCGAGGCAACTGATGCCTCTGCGAGGTCCCAACCGAAGCTCCATCTTTTTGTAATTGGTGCAACTTATCTTTTGGTACACGGCACCAGAAGTTTGGAGGGAAGAAAAAGGGGGAAAGGGTGAGGGCAAGAGACCCACTGGTAGGAGCTCAAGTGTTCTTGAATCCCTACAGTCACCCTTTGGATGCCGTAGTTTGATTATTTTTTAGATGTATCGTTCAACGACTGGCACATAAAAAATGGGGTTACCCTCAATGAAATATTCCAGAAGCAGATTCAGGGCAGAGGGGATCTGCGAAATACAAGTCAGAACCACATACCTTGCTCGGGTGCCACCTCAGGCAAATAAGTGGCAGTGCGTTTTGAGCCTTTTTCAGTCATAAACTCTATTCGAATGCCATGAATCCCAATCTGCAAGAAAAGCGGGCGCGCTCCAGTTAGCAAGCATGTTCGGGACATCCCAAGCGTAACACAGAAAACAGAAAATTACGGCAATGTTTTCCTAACTGAAGAAACGTGGAAATTACTGCAAATTTTTTTGTAACAAAAGAAAAACGAGAAATAAATAAAAATGTCCGTAAGCAAAAAAAAAGTAAAATCGGTAAGGTTTTTAGGAGCATTGTTCTCCAGTAGCAGACAACTTTTGCAGGTGGAGGACCAAGAGCCTGTTGCATCAGTGTTCGCACATCAGGATTGTACCGACAATGTACGGGGGCAGAAAAATTAGCTGGCTCGACGAAGCTCGGGCCGAAGCAGCAAAAATGCCACGATCTGGGAGGCTGAGAGGGTTCGCAATTATTTGCCACTGTCGAATTCTGCGACACCACGCGGCATTTCACCTCGTCAGCCGGAGCAGCACCGCCTAAAATAATCAAAGCCTGTGCACTAGAATTTTGGCGTCGTTATGGTGAAATCGGGCGGACTCAGATTGGACACGAGTGCTGCATCAGTGTTTGGCTGGGCCTCGTTGCCAGTCAATGTGTCGAAGGATGCTCGGCAAAAGACCACCTGCTAAACCTTCAGGCATTCCGGCCCACGCTCGAGGGATCATGGGAATGGTGCTCCTTCAGTTCCTCAGTGATCTGTAATTTTGACCAATAGACCTTTTGCTAAATTACCCAAGCATCAAAGAGAATGTTTGGGAACATAGGTACAAGCACTGCATGTGCTCGCCTTCCCTATAGAAAAGATTTGAAGTAAATGACCAAAATAAAGTGTCCGTGGAACGAGCGTGCGAAGTGCCATTTATTTTAGGTTTCTGCTTTTGAACAGTTAGAGCTGAGGAAGCCAGCACGCGCAGCGCGTGTATTTATGCTCCGAGCATTCTTTTTGATGCTCGGGTAATTCGGCAAAAGGTCTATTCGATGCTTACACACTTTTGAGCGTAATCCGAAGTCACTTTGAACAAGCGTCATGTAGATTCCAAAGACCTGTCATATCACTTAATTTCTTGTAAATGTCAGCATTTTTGATACTATGCATGCAATCTGCAATTCAGCCTGGCAGAACTGCAGAAATCTCTTACAATATTATCATTCTCATGATTGCAGTAATGTGATTGCTGCACCAATTGCGCCAAACTGCGCCAAGGGGCTAATCCTGCTTCTTAAATTATGTTTTTATTTCTAATGAAATTAGACAGAACCAAGCACCCTTTCTTTATATTTTCGATCAAGCCTCGGCAAGTTACAGTCGCAGAAGCGCACAGTATACGAAACCTAGGGTTCGAACTAATTACGGTACACAGCTTACATATCTCGTACCAGATCTTCTAAACACATACCCAACCATAGCAGAAATGGCTTAAGCACACATTTCGTTCTTCCATTATAAAAAAAGGATTGTAAATTATATATTCAACCTCTCATGATCTGCAGTTAGTGCGAAGCTGACAGTTGAGTTGTGTGTTATTGTGTCCGTTGTGGGTTTTGAAATTGCTGTATTTTTGTATATTTGTTCTGTTTATGTTCCTGTCTGCTGCACAAAGAGGCTGCAGCCTCGTCAGAAGACAACTCATCTTCTTTTTCCCAAGCCCCAACCTCTCATGATCTGCAGTTAGTGCGAAGCTGACAGTTGAGTTGTGTGTTATTGTGTCCGTTGTGGGTTTTGAAATTGCTGTATTTTTGTATATTTGTTCTGTTTATGTTCCTGTCTGCTGCACAAAGGGGCTGCAGCCTCGTCAGAAGACAACTCATCTTCTTTTTCCCAAGCCCCCGGACCCTTTTTTGTGTCTGAAATAAAGGATACATACATACATCCTGCTATATTTTGCCAAAACATGGGTAATCTGCACTAAGCCTGTGCCAAAAAACTAATTTCGCTCGCCTTTCAAAATGGAAACTAAACTGAGTACCATAATTGAGCATACGTGAGTTATGTGGTGAAAGCGGCCACCTGATACAAAGTACCCTGCATCAATTGTCCATCCGGTCTTGCATGGTTTTTCCGCCGTCAAGCATTTCACGCTCTCATCATCTCGTGGGTCTCGTCTCGCTCCTTTTTTTAAGAATATTTTCAACGATAAACGTGGGTGTGTGCGGGCGTTCCGACGCTGGCATGCTAGGTACCAGCCATGCCGTCATGCTGTGAAACGAAACCACGTTTTTGCACGGCGGGAGTTACTTTGCGAGCTGAAGCACTCGCTCCTGAAAGCAACGACCGTGGGAAAACTATATTTGGTCCCTGCCTTCCAGTCGCCGTGGTTGCGTGACGTCGGGTGTTGCCGTCCCCACGTCGCTGCAGGTATGGCGCTTTCTAAAATGAAACTAAGTACCGCCGCATGTTTATGAACATTCCTGTTCTTGTTTGAATCATGCATTACAAAAATTCCTCTTTAACTCAAAGACTGCTGTGTCGAAGTATTGATTACCTAGGTTTCTCTCGGTGGTCTCTCTTTCGAAAGGAACCCCGGTTTTTGTGAAAAATTCTGCCGAGAAAGTATGTTGGTGAAGAGCAGTGAGGTAAAGCAAAGAAGGTAATGTCTGCACGCTGAACCTGCACAGGGTGCTTGTTTGTCTCGAGTTTAGTAGATGCACAAAGTGCTCCAACAACTCTTTGACACTGGCTCGCCATGTCTTGCATCGATGCGCTCAGGCTCTTTTTTTGTGTGTGTGTGTTTAGCTTGTACCTTGTTTGCCGGCCTGGCAAGCACGCGCCGCTGGACTGTTTCTTGTCGTATGCTCAACAGTTACATTTTGCATAGGAACCGTGCATATCTAATACAAGCCCCGACCAGGGCGCCCCTAGCGGCAAACCAGTCCGTTGCATCGGGGAGCCTCTGCCAGTCGCTGCGTCAGTTGTGCGTTGTAGCACTGTAATTTCTGAGAAGGCTATTCCGCTGCATGGTCGGCTGCAACTGCTGCATGGTCGGCTGCAACAGTATGTGCAAGGGCGTGAAGAGCACGAAGTTCTACGGCTTCCCTTCGAAGCCGTACGGGGCAGAGTGCCGCGCGACCCGGGTGCGACTTGTGCGTCGATGCAGGTAAGTGGTATTTCTTACCTTGCAGTTCGCGTTTTGCTTTAAAGGGCAATTCCGCTTCAGTTTTGATGTTAAGAAAACTATGCAGCCCCCTTCAGTGTCATCTAGGAAGACCACATGTCAAATATTATGATCTAATTTTGTCTATATATTTAATAAACTGGCAAGCAATCTTTCAAATGAGCCAAGTCGCCAAAATCTGCTAACTCTAGCATGCGTTGTGAGGCGCAATCAACAGCGCAGTCAATACCACGGAGTTGGAGCAGCCAACGTTGAGCCACTACGTCAGTCATGTCTGCGTCATTCTCACGTGTCGTTTGTTTTTACTTCTCAGAGCCAAATTGAACGATGACGTCATGAGTTTCTCCTCCCGATGTTGGCTCAACGGTGTCCACATGATCACCGTAACACGGATGCACTAGTTTGCGCTGCCCTGTGCGCCTTTCGGAGCCGAGAGCTGGGAGCAGTCTGTTTCGTCTCGCCGCTGTTATAATTTGAGAATTGACGTTTTGTTTACGATACGAGCGTGGGCCTCATCTCTGATGACTAGCTGCGATGCCAAAAGATCCATAGACTAACGATGTTGTGTTGCTGCCTGCTCGATCTACCAGTTGACCAGCCCGGAAGTTGTCTTTCACAAGTTTGCACATGACAGTGCGCATCTCAAAGTATGGATTGGCATCCCGTGCCGGCGGAATTCCAGGAAACCTTTGTCGCCAAATAGCAGAACAATGATTGTTCCGATTGCTTGTGCTCATAAAAGTAACTAATTCGCTGTTACCAGCTAAATAGAGAAACGAGAGTGAAAAGATCAGTTCCACTGCGAAACCAAAGGAATGTGCACTGGAGTATACTTATCATGGCATTCATAATTTTCACTGGCTATTTTGCTATTGACAATAAACGTGCAGTCTGCCGTACAGCTTCATAAAGGTACACAATTCAGGCTACGAAAGCAAGAGACACATGCACACTCAAACGACCACCGCGTCGGTCGCACTACGCACCGGGCGTCTCCCAGTGTACAAGCATATATGTCTCGTGCCCGTAAAAACCAGGCGCAAAGACTCGGCTATTTTCGGTAAAATAAATGTGAACTTGGAGCTTTATGTGCCAGACTTACGAAGGGCGTCTGGCACGCACAAGCGGAGGCCTGATGATTAATTTGGACCACCTGGGGGTCTTGTGATGTGTAAACAATATCTCAGTTACACGGCGCCTTTGCGACAATAAGCCCGCATCAAATTGTGGGCACCTCGGTTGAGATTCCCACCCGAAGTGCAGGTTGGGGCCACAGTGGTACAGACATCGTTGAATGTTGTAGCAAGCTACATTGGTAAAAATTGCAGAGCAAACGACTCTCGAGCTTTGCTCTACGTTCGCCCACCGTCGCATAGAGGATCACGTGACTTTTCGGACCACGTGGTTCGGCGTGACTCGGACATGACTCTGACGACACGAGATAAATGTTGCCTGTCACAATCAAAGTTTCGGCTTCAGTATCTGCTGATGTTTAAACTAAGATTACAGAAATAATATTCCACATTTCGCAGATCTGAAGATATAAGGCTGTTTAGCTGTACTTTGGGAAATGGAATCATATGTAAACCTAAAATTTTTTTAATTGAGTGGAGTTGCACTTTAACCCCTTAAGTGCCCTTTTTTTTTTTTTAAAGTAACCGAAAAGTGTTACATTTTTTTTTATTTAGAAGTTTTATTCCTCTAGTAATACAGATAATATTTCAAAAGTTTATTACGCCAAAATCAGTGGCAGCAAAAAAAAAAAAAAAAAAAAAAATGAGCCATCTAAAACGAGTGCTGCCATCTATGATCAGTGCCGCAAACTACTCGGACGAGCCTAGCTCGTCCGTGGAATTGAGGGCTACCAAAAGAACCACTGGACGAGCTGAGCTCGTCTACGGCATTTTTAGCCAAAAGCGGCCGACGAGCTCAGCTCGTCCTAGGCACTTAAAGAGTTCAGCTGCTGATGAATAATACAATTAAGCGACGATGGAACAGCATGGACACCTATGGCAAACTCTAAAATATGCAGCAAATACTTCACCGGAATTGAGAAGTGGAATGACAGAATGCAGTCGCCCACCTAAGCCCACCCTTGGATGCTTCCATCAGCCTACAGGAAGATAGTAGTGGGATTATACATGATGGTTGAAAACCCGAGACAGTGGTTTGAAAAACAGAAAATCGTGAAGTAGAAAGAAAAAGGGACAGACGTCGTCTCAAATGGAAATTCTTGGCTTTTTCAGGTTTTCAATCATCATGTATAACTTACACCAGCTCGCCTGCACTTTAACCGTTTTTTCATAGTAGTGGGAATCGCGGAAGGGTGCGAAAACAATCGCCCAGTTATTGTCAAGCTGATCCAGAAAGTAATAAACATTCATAATTAGTGCAGTCCACCTCAATGCCAACTAAGAAAGCTCTCTTATTTAATTGCACCAAACTCAGTTTTTTTTTCCGGGCATCCACTTGTCCGTCAAAACGGACCTCCATCACGTCGTACACGCAGCCAGATTAATGGAGGAGTTTTCTCCTCGCCATAATGGCAACACGAAAAAAGCCTTCTGGATTTGTAACTACCTTAAACCCCGACGGGGACACCGTTTGTTGTGCTGTCCGTCAGCATTGCTCACCAATGATTCCGCACCGGCTACCGCTAGGTGGCAGCAAACAACAGGCGACCACCGCGACGCGGCCGGCACTCTCGCTTCCTATACAATTTTGGGAATCGGTTGGCGATGGAGCGGAGTGACATGGTCTCGGTTTCAGCTGTTGTCTCCGCTCGCGCGACGAAGCATACACAATTGCAAGCCTGCCGAAGTTGCCCTCACGTGCATGCGAACATGACTGCATGACAGAGGCACCAGCCGGGACGCCTGCAATCCATTGTTCATGTTTGCTTACTTTTGACGAAAATCTGGCACGTCGGGAACCAACAGTGACAAGCGGTTTTTCGGAATTCCTAGGCAATGCCTACAGCACTGTAGACTTGTGGGATGTTTCAGCAGTAAAAATACAAGCGAGTTCTGTCACAACACGTCACATCAGAACACAACACAACGCAAAGTGCCCTTCGTTTGTACAGCACTTAAAACAAGTATTCTTATTTTTCCAAGAATATCTGCTCCAAAAGCCACTCTTGCTGCTCCGAAACAGCTTTATTGTCCAAAAGCCACTTTTGATGCTCCAAAACAGCGTCACTATTCCAAAAGCCACTTTTACTGCTCCAAAACACTGTTTTGGTTGCTCCAAAGGCCACATTTGCTGCTCCAAAACACTGTTTTGATGGCTCCAAAAGGCGCTCCAAAATAGCTTAAAGAGCAACTCCGCTTCATTTTTGATATTTAGAAAACTATGCAGCCCTCTTCAGTATCATATAGGAAGACCCCATGTCAAATATTACGATCTAATTCCGTCTATATATTTAATAAACTGGCCAGCAAACTTTCAAATGAGCCAAGTCGCCGAAATCTGCAAACTCTAGTGTGCGACGCGAGGCGCAATCGTCAGCGCAGTCAATGCGACAGGGTTGGAGCGGCCAACGTTCAGCCACTACATCAGAGGCATGTCTACGTCATTCTCACGTTTTGTTTGTTTTTACTTCTCAGAGCAAAATTGAACGATGACGTCATGAGTTCCTCCTCCCGGTGTTGGCTCAGCGGCGTTCACGTGATCATCATAACGCGGATGCGCTTCGCTGCCCTGCGCGCTTATTGGTCTGTTTCTCCGCTCCCCCTCTCCTCTTTCGGCTTCTCCCCTTCCCCCTCTCCCCCGGGCCATCACCATCCACGCCCAACACCACCTAGCCACGCCATACGAAGCGACCTGCCCGCGTCGCGTGTCCTCTACCCCGCCCCCACGAACGTCACAAGACCACGTGGTTCGACGTGACGTGGCCATGCCTCTGACGACACGAGACCAATGTTGCCTGACGCAACCGAAGTTTCTGTTTCAGTATCAGCTGATGTTCAAATTAAGATTACACAAATAATATTCCACATTTCGCGAATCCGAAGACGTAGAGCTGTTTAGTAATGCTTTGTGAAATGAAATCACATGTAAGCCTAAATTTTTCGGAATGGAACAGAGTTCCCCTTTAAGCTAATCACATCACTGTGATTGTTGTTTTATCAGGAATTGCTTAAAAAGCCAAGAATTTACAACAACCAAAATCAGAACTTAGCTCCGAGTCAGCAGAGCTGTTTACAGCATTTTTAGTGTTTCTAAGTCAATATCAGAGTCTTTGAAGCTGTACGAGAACGATGATATTGTAAGAAATTTCTGCAGCTCAGCCGGGTTGAAGAGTGAATGACACGCACAGTATTAAAAACGCTGACATTCACAAGAATTTTAAAAATTATGTGGACTCTACACGACACTTGTTCAGGATGACTCCGGATTACACTCAAGTGTGTAAGCATCGAATTGGTCAAAATTCCCGAACACAAGGAAGCTGAAGGAACACCGTTCCCATGATTCTTCGAGTGCGGGCCGGGGTGCTTTGGGATTCAGCAACTCCGACTGCAACAACGTTTCATGGAGGAAGAGGAAGACGCTCGTATGCCTCCATTATTTTAGATGGAGTTGGCTGGAGCCCCGCTTAGCCAGCTCATACTGCCATCCATGGTACACAGGTGGCATTTCCTATACCGAGTCTCACTGTGCTTGCCTGTTTCCAGACAGAATAGCAACATATTGTAGTAAGTTTTAAGTTGACGTGCACGCCTTCTTATTCTTTATTTGTTTACGGAAAGACCCCACAACAAAGTCGAGTTTTGTCCACACATGGTACAAGCAATAACCTATACAGCAAAGCATTTGTAGTCCAACATAACAATGCAATTGTACCGGCTTGATGACGCACATAAATAGCGACGGTCCAATTGCTGAAATTGTGAGTAAACCTATCGTCCCTTTTATTGCAACTGTACACCACCACAACAATCATGGAGGCAGACATTACAACAATGCAGCCCATTTCACTGCCACTTCGTAAGAATATGATGCAGGCCACACCGGTTTGCACTGGATGGCGTTCGGATCATTTGATTTGAGACCTGAAAAGACGGCACACCTACGTTCTGCAGGACTCACCTCTGCTAATAAAGGCAACGATAATATGGAAGAGGATGAAACAGGGCAGTTGGAAGACCTCAAGACCTGACAGGGCACAAGGCCTGCCTCGCTGAATGTCAAAAATTGAATAGAATGTTGTAGCCATGCCGGGAATGAGAAGCCTTCTAAACACTGTAAAAGACTTTCTTTTTTTTTCTTTTGCTGTCTATAAAGGCGATGAAAATGGGAAGTAGGGTGAAGGGTGAAGTAAAATGGCAGTGAGAAGCCCCCAGGACCCAATGCGGCAACAGTAAACAATGCGACCTGCACCCACCTCCCAATCCATGTAGTCGTTGCCATCCTCGAAGTGTCGCAGGATGGAGACGGAGACGTGAAGCTTGTTGAACTCGTCTCTTGTGATGGGACTGAAGCGGCTGTCCTTGAAAGCACTGTGTTAGGCAGAATCAGTCGTCAAGCTCACATGTAATAATTAGGCGTTGAGTACAAAACTCATTATACTAAATCAAAACCACTAGCATACCCTGCATTGATAAAAAAAAATACTGTTGCTGTTTTTAGTTTTTCTCACTAAATTGTAGAACTAGGTGGACATCAAAGGGAAACAGAGAGAAATTTAAGCTTGTAATAAGCCCTGTTTATTTATTCATACCATAGGAACATTAAATACCCAAGAAAGCATGGAAAATTATTACATATATTAATAATAAAAAACGCACAAAGAAAGTGAATGACGAAAATAATACCACAATAAATAACGAAGGGGGCAAACCATTGCTACGAGAATGGTTGGCTAGAAATCACAAAAAAGGAACCTTTCACAATTATTATTCCTAACACCTTAATCAATCAGTTACCAAATAACAGCCCTGAAAAGTTAAGGAACGTACGAAAATAAAGCATTAAACCAGCTCAACATGTCACAATTATCACAATAATGAGAGGCTCTTGGCAAGCAGCACTGCCAATGCGCAGCTCACTATAGTTGCTTTTAATTGTCTCTGGTCCCGGTTAAGTATGGAGTAAGGCATTATACTCTCAACAACTCAAAATTAGGTGTAAAGTACAGTTTTTCAATCTTCAGATGTTCTGTTCCTACGTCGCATGAATCTTTATTAACAGCCCTTCTTTATACTTGTTACAGTGCCGAAGTTTGCGATCTATCAGATATTAAACCCTATCAACGGCTCCTGAGAGGTGTACATCACATCTTTTTATGAGTAAAAATTTCCTCAAAGCTAACTTTAGCACCTTTATAAAAGAGGGCAAACGTGTACAAAATCACCAGCAACGGCAAGTCACAATAAGTGTTCTATTGTGGCAACATAATGTCAAGGTGCTCAGGAAGAAGTCTGTTCACATGCTATGAAACCCTTTAAACTCTCAGAAAAAAAAGAATTCTCGAGTAATAAAGCAGCTGTACGTAGTTAGAACAAGTTTCCGCTTCAAGAATTTGAGAGATTAAATTTACAATCTAGAATATTGAATATCACATTTGTAGATAAAAACAAAGAAAAAAATGCAGCACCTTAATTCTCCAACGGTTGACGCCATACATGTACGCCGGTGATTACACATTTGAAAGTGCCCACCTAAACGCGAAACTGCATACGCCGCAGGAGGTGTTGCTTTCTGTTATGTCTTCGGCAAACTATTAACGTCATTGTTGCACGTTGTTTCACATTGCTGGGCTTTTCATAGTTTTCGAATTACACGCTCCGCACGTATGATACTCACTTCGCATACCGACTGCTCTGGCAGTAGTGCCGATGGGAGCACTGGCTGTTACGAGTTAGACTTTCAACACTTTCTAGAATTTAATTTAGAGGGTGAGAGCTCATCATACCCGACTGAGAAGTTCTGTAAAGTACCTCCAGTTAGAAATCTGACGTCGTGAGAATGTTGCGGAAGCGGACACGCCAAAATAAAACCGAATGGAAGGAAGGTGACAACTCTTTGCCTTCAATATTTTCATTTGATGCTTCTAAACCTAAACAGCTGGCAAGCACTGTATGCACTCCTGCTAGATATATAAGGAAACACCTGCGCGGTGATCCTTTTTCTGTAATATTTCTTTGCATACGAAACTACTCCTCTAAAAAACACATGGGAAAAAAAAAATTGATTGTCAAAGAGTTAAAGCAAAAATGGGAAAAAAAGTTTTTTCCCCTCTAAATACTGCTTAGAATGAATCTTTGATCTTCGTAACCTACGGCATAAGTATTAGTTTTTTTCTTCACTCACTAGCAGTCACAACAATAAATTGGAGAAGACGGGCAATACATTTTCATCTCCTTAACTCCCAGTCAGAACGAGAGGCCACAGGACCTGGAGCTGATTTTATTCCACTAATGAGTACCTTAGCACCATTCTGGAGCTAGCAATGTGCAGGGCACACCCTCTGCTCAAAAGATTGATGGAGTATGTATGTTCCCATAACTGCAGCGAGTGGACACAAGCGCCAGGTCTGCCGAGGCAACGATTCTAACCAATCCCGAGTCAAAAGCTCGTGCAGCGCTTGTGTCGAATCTATGATCTGCATTCAACCATCGTCATTCTAAAGCACTGGTTCTCAAACAAGGGTCCGCGAACCCTTCGGGGTCTCCAAAGTCCGCACTAGGGACCCCAACCCTCGATCGTCAGTCAAGCCGAACAATAAAACTTTCTTTTTCATTGATGCTGGCTGTTCTACAATCCTACAAAGCAAAATAGGCCGAACGATGTGTGCCGGGTGAATAGGGTTAACAAACCTATGTTTCAGAGCTTCAAAGTTGCTTTGCATGCATTTAGTTTTCTTCACTTATCCTTTCGTACCTGTAATCGTCCAATGACCTCCCCACTTCCCCCAATGGAAAGGGTCCCCCGTCACTTCTGCCGATCCAGAAGGGGTCCCCAAAAACATTGGTGGCTGAAAACTGCTGCTCTAGGGTGATCCCTGGAACTACATCACGTTGTGATCCCTATGACTACATCAGCAAGTTTTGAGAAAGAGACCAAAAGAAATAGTCTGCTTCTATCCCTGAAGTTACACCGAGACAAAAAAGAAGCTTCTCGCCAAGTGTCATACTTGTGTCGGTAAACTAGTGCGAAGTCGAAGAACTACAAAGTGTCAAAGAATTATGCGTAGCAACAAAACGTCCCCTCTGCTGCTCCAAAACTGTCGGTGACTACAGATCGTTCCAATATTAGCCATCTGCCACCTGCCATGTTTGTCTACTGGGTTGTGGAACACATTCTGAGCACACACATTAGCCCTCGTTAGGAATATCAGACGCAATGCGTGAATCCACAGCCCAGCAACTTTTTGTCTTGGTGATAAGGGCTGAAAAGGTATCTACAGCGAGTGTCACCACAGTTAGTGAGGCACAAGGCTAAAGAGAGAGAGAAGTGGGGGAAACAAAGGCAAACCTGGTGACGGCGTACTCCCTCAGCCCCGAGTGCAGATTCATGGCATTGAAGGTCCCGATGCAACCTCTCAGCCTTTTGTCTTTCCCGATGTTCCAAGTCACAAATAGAGGGCTTGGAAGGGAAAGAGAGTCCCAGATTTCATTTAGACAAAAGAAGAGAAAAAAAAATGGTGCAAATTTATACGTACTCAACTGGAGGGGTGAAAAAGAAATTCAGTTTTGAGGCGCCAAGCTTTTTGTGGGTTTCGGTTCTCGATCTCCTCGCTCGAAATCCGAATGATGAGAGGCTATGGCGTGCCAATTTGGAAATGGAACAGCAACAACAACAACAAAAAAAAGTATGCCATTCCCAATCTTGACATTCAAAAAAAAGAGGCAAGTCTGGGACAAGATCAGATACAGCTATGTTTTTTTGTTTTTTTTTTTCTTTTTAAATTTAGGATTACATAATTTAGACGGCTGCTGTTTTTCAGCAAGCATGAAGTTGACATCTGAGAAGGAAACAAAAAAATTACAGCAATGAATAGGCTCATCAATAATTCCGATTCACGACAGTCATTCAGTGCAGCATTTCTTTCTCTGACAAACGCATTGAGCCCGCCGAAACTGTAGTCCTTCCATGCAAACACTGACTTCCCGTGGGCACCTGTTCGGCGGGACGCCAGTGACTGCATCGGAAGACGGTCATAGGGTTGAACACGATTCTTGGAAAACTCTCTAGCCACCTTTGAGTTCTCCCAACAGCTTCAAATCAATGTAACAAGGTCACAGTGTCTCCATTTCTAGTTTCAGAGAGTACTTATACATATAACTTTTCTTACGAACATACAAATGGGACTGCTTGCTTGTAAGTCAAAAAGAATGCATATGCATAAAAACAAAATTCAAATAGCAAAGCAATAAATAGTGTAAAAAAATACAACAGCCTTCAATTCAACAGAGATATGTGTCAAGGCAAAATATTGTCTTTTGCAGTAAACGTTTGTGGTACAGTCTTTTTGTGTCTGAGGACATTGATGTGCACAGTTGAGTGTAATAAACTTTAACAAAACCTTTAAAAAAAATCCCCTTAAAACATGTTTTGATATTACTACACAGGGATAGCCTTCTTTCTGTTTATGGCAAACTTCATGGTGCAAATTAGTTACAGCATCAGTGAATGGCATGGCAGTGCAGCTACCCAAAGCCTTCACCAGGCAACGCAATAAACAGAAAACTGCAGTAAACTTTCGTTCACCCCTAAGGTCACTGGAAGCAAAGGGCGACAGCACAAGATTGTGATTCTGAAACATGCTTTCCTGGGACGAGTACTTGCATTAAAAAGGTATGTCTCAAAGAAAGATGTGCGGGCTGCTCCACGCTAGTCACCTTCGCTTCCTCGTCAATTTAACCCCTTGCATACTAATGATGAGTGTCGCTCGCGCCACCCTTTACGGACCATAATGCCCAACCCCAAGTGTGACTCGTGTTTCGGTTTTGGCGCTTGTCTAGCGTGCTCTCTGGCACATGGCAGCACCACCTTTGTTGCTCCACTTCCCTTGGGTTGTGACTGGACTATAGCAAGCTATGGATACACTGACTGCCTGTGCAAGTAACCAGAGAAGTGAGGAGTTTGTTTTGCATATTTCATGAAATACCTCTTTTCGGACCAGATTTTGAAAGGCGGTGTAAGGAACGATATAAAAGGTCCACAAAGTGTTTGGGGGTCCTGTTAGAGTTCAAACTTTGTGTAAATCGGCACCAACGACACAGCAATTAATGTGCAATTATCTTAATTTCCCTGTGGAAGCTGACGTGAGCAGCAGTACAAGTGTTGCTACGCCTTAAATAGGGGGATCGGTGGCCGAGTCGGCTAGCGCACACCAGCTCGGAGCACGTGGAGCGAAAGCTCGTGTTGCAGAACCTAGCGATCCTTGGTTCAATCATTACCTCTGCTCGTTTCGATCTGAATGAGCATTGTACTGGCGTGCGGTCGTGTATCACTGCTGCGTGGTGCATGTTAAAGACCCCAGGCTAATGGTTGCACTGCACTGGTAAATTGCTCATTTACAGTGAGTGACTAGTCGCAATTCTGAAATGGATGACCAACTACCGTATTTACTCGCGTATAGGTCGACCTGTTTTTCAAAAATCGCCTCATCAAAACTGGGGGGTCGACCAATACGCGAATCCCGGAATTATATTTTTCAACTTTTTTTTTTTTTTCGGGGGTCCCGAAGTTAGGGGGTCGACCTATACGACGTATCGACCAATATGCGAGTAAATACGGTACATGCTGTATAAATATCTACACAACCCCAATTATTATTTACGCCTTAAATATCATTCCCCACCCAGAGAATATATAATGATAGACCACTTTCGCATGAATGAGGCAGCAACAGATTTCTCGTGCATATATAGCAGTTTGAAGTTTGAGGCCTTTTGTAATGCCATGATGCACTGTCACGTGTCATATGAGTCATGAAACTTGCTCAACGTCTTGCCCTCATCCCAACACAAAGAATGCGCGGCAGGCGAGAGCCAAACATGGAGTGTTCCTTCATTTAAGCAGCAACCATGGCCCAAATCGACTAATGGCTCTTTCGACACCTCACGTATACGGATAAGCTTCTCGGAAACACCACTCTTAGATTAGGCAACCTCACGCGGGGTATTTCGGGAGCCTGGCAACACGACGCAAACGCTGTGCTTGGGAAAAAAAAAAAAAAAAAAAAATGTATTGTCGCACGGAGCGGATACTATCGAGCCACACGACGACAGCATCACTCGACATGAAGTTGATCATCGGTCATCGCCAGCTTAAAAGCACCCTGCGTAGCCCCATGCTGCCAAGAAACAAGATCTGGGACAGCGGACTGCAAGGGACTAAGCCTACAGAGACAATAAAAAAAAAAGGAGGCAGCGAGGTGCCCGCTTCACTGGTTATAAAACCAGTGAATGAGTTAAACGTAGGCTTAGGAGCGGAGCTAGCCACCGTGGGCAGAAATCGAGAGGCCCTCGCTCCCCAGACATTTCGCCAGGTGACGGCTAATCGTACCAGCTGGTGGCGAGAGTAATGTCTTTGTTTGGAGGTAAATCAGCTGACCCAAGTATTACCTGGCCTCCGCGCGACTGGCGATTGCACTGCACAGAAGGCTCACAGCAGGGAGCACCCCACGAGGATCACAGTGAATGGGGCTACCCCCGACGAACGAATGAATCGAAAATGAGAGCGGAGGTACTTACTAGCATTCATTTGGGAAGTTGGGCGTCTTGGGCGTCTCGTACTGATTGAGATGGCAGTAAAGCACGTCGAAGCAAAAGAAGCACATTTCCACACAGACTACCATGCCGTTTTTGTAGTGGCTAGGTTGAAAGTGATTAGGGTGCACCATCGTCCCATTACAACATGGGGCTGAATTATTGTTGTTCATCTTTTGCTTCTTGGCTCCACAACAACCAGCCGCCATGGCTTCGCCCTCAACTTCCCCACTCGACTGCTGCGAGGCGCTTCGGCTTCGGCTAGCTTCGGCAGCATAGAACGGTGGCAGCGTTGGCGGCGCTAGCAACGCGGCAACGCTACAGCGCTACAGCTGTCTAGCACCAAGCAAGCGTCACGTGACGATGTCCCGATTGGCGGAGGGATTGGCGCGAGTCAGCGAAGTGAATCGTGATGCATTTGTAGTACCATTTCTACAGCACCAGCTGGCCATGAGGGCTACCCTTGTCGCGCTGCTGCTAGGCGGAGGGGCCTTGAGATCTGAAGGTTTTTGGGCGCGCGAACGGAGGAGATTAAGTACCAGGCGCCTTGATATGCGCTCAGCGCAAATTAACTGGAATATTTGGGGGTGTAGTTCAGGAACCGGTCGTTGAAAATGCCTTAAACTTAAATATTGACTTGTCCGGCATGGCACTAGCGTGGCTCGCTGCAGAGATTATTTGCGTTATCTCACTACTTCCTAAAATTGAGGAAAAAATTATGGGAGTGTCCACAGGAGTGTCTGCTCCGACGGCCGTCGCTCGAGCCATGTCCACACGGAGACGGCTCCTTCGACACCGGAAGTAGTAAAACGTCACTTCCGGTGTCAAAGTAGCTTGCCCTGTCTGGGCATGGCATAGAGATCATGGGCATGGCTCCTTCGACACCGGTAGTTGAGGGTGACATCACTTCTGGTGTCGCAGCCTCGTGTGGCTGTTACCGCTGTCACTGCCCTTCCCGAGTCTGCGACTGGTCAAGTTCTGGGTTGGTTTCACGCAAGCTTTTTGCACTCATTTGAAGCGTTCCCTTTGTCATTTGCCTGATTACTTATTTGTTTAACCATATTCATTAGTATTTACTGCCATTGTCTGTATTTTGCGCTTTGAACGCGTTAATTTGGATTTTGTATCGGGTTGTAAACGAGCGTGGTCGCACTCCCAACGTGCTTCGTATTTTGGTAGCCGGTGATCCTTACTCGAACCAGTACTTCTCGTGGATTGACCGGAGGGCTATTGAGGTCGCCGCATCTAGTGGGATTAGGATTGAGAACTTGTTTTCGCGGTCTGACAGGCTTGCCGATTTTGACGTTGCCATCGTGCACGTCGGCACTAACAACACCAGCGTTAGTGCTAGCGTGTGCATCAACAAATCTAGTCACGCTGCCGAGATGCAGGTTATGAATGACTACTACCGGGAGCTAAGCTTCCTGCAGCGTGAGTTTTGTCGCAAAGAGGGGTTCGAGTTCCTCGGCGGCTTGGCCAACGAGTAGCAGTGGATCGGTCGCGACTGCTCGGAACGGACGACAGCCAAGTGACAGCAGCCCAGCTCGTGACCACAACCAAAAAAAGAAAGCCCTTTTTATTTCCACGCGCCGCTCCTTCTATAAGCGCTCCATAAATGATGGTGTCCTCTGGCGAGCAATAAGATAAACACCATTACCTTAGTATTGCCCACTACATCTCCCCTTAAGATCTATAAGTCAGTCGCCTTGGCAGTCCAATCACACGACCGCAAAGTGTGCGTCTCAGCCGAAGCCCTACTTGCTGAGGCTCTGGCGATGATGCTGGTTGACCCTCACCAGGCCTAGACTGCTGTAAACTTGGTCCTGGATTTTGTTCACTGGCTGGCAGTTCCTCTGTTGACTGTTTTTTTGAGAAGGGGATTAGATGCTGACGGTTTCACTGCAGAGTTCCCCTGGGCGTTTCCACCACATATGACTGTGGTCACTGAGCGGGGCTGAGGATACTGCCTCGGCAATTGACGTCCTTAACCCACACGTCCTCCCCCAACTTCAAGGGGGTCGGAGGACTTGAAGTATGCCGGCGATTGTGGTTGTTTGCCTGTTGTGACGTGTTTGCGGCATCTCTTGCCTTGAAGTTCTGATGGCTTGGCAGTGATGGCTGAAGTCGTTCTGGTAGACCAGGAAGTCAAGTTAGTTTTCTTCCCATTAACAACTGGGCAGGAGAAACACCATTGACACCGGGTGTGTCTCGGTACAATAGGAGAGCCAGGTGTTGATCGGTGCTCTTTGCAAACAAGTTCTTCACGATACGCACCATGCGTTCTAATTTGCCGTTATTCTAGGCGTATCGCTGGCTCCTAGCCTCGTGGCGAAATCTGCGCCTGAGCAAAGTCTGCAAACTCGTGAGATGCAAACTGCGGTCCAATATCTGTCCGCACGACGTTCGGGATTCCATAGCAAGCCATGCAACTCTTGACAGCTGAGATGGCTGCTTGCGCAGATGTAGATCCGAGAGAGATGACCTCAGGAAACATTGAGTATACTCTGTTTCACCTTATGCTGTACCACAGCAAAGGCTAGAAGTGCGAGCTATTAGCGTTGGCAGCTGCCCTTGATGCACGAGAGCTTGTGCCGCCGAGATGTGCCCTAGAGCAAGGAGCTCGTGCTTGTAGCCTTTCCTACGGTACAACACAAAATGAAACAGAGTATAGTAGTCTACAATCAGAACATAGTCACATCCTTTTAGCTGGAACGTTCGGAATGGACGATGACGAAGAAACAGCAGCCCGTGATACCCCCAGAGTAACGGTGAAGTAGAGTGCATGGTGCATACCGTGAAAGACTTGTTTGCAAAGAACTCTGATCCATACCTGACTGTCCTCGTTGCAATCCAAGTCGGCCATTCCGCCGGGCTGGTGAAAGTGAATGGTGCTAAAGGATGAAGTCCCGACGCTCCGACGCAAACCACTTGGATATGGAGGTCACCTTCCGCCATAGTGACGGTGTTAGCCAGCTTCTGACACCACGTTAGGAACGGACGACGGCCAAGTAACAGCAGCCCAGCTCGTGACCACACCTAAAAAGAAGAAAAAGCCCTTTTATTTCGATACGCCGCACCGGTTCTTATATAAGCACTTTATAAATGATGGTGTTCTCTGGCGAGCAAAAAAAAAAACACCATCACCTTAGTAGCACCCACTATTGCAACGGTATCCACCCAAGCCAGATCGGCAGCAAGGTATGGCGTCTGTGCCGATGAGCACAAATATAGACATCGATCGCAAGGATGGCTACAGTAGTAGCCGTACAAGTGGGCGCCTGTGCATATTCACTTGCAAGGTACTTAAGAAAAAATGTTGACTGAGGTGTTTACAACGTGAAGGAGGCTTATTGCAGAAAAGGCACCGTGGGTAATGTGAGCTTTCGGTTGCACAACAAAAAATCCCCCCGGTGGTCTAAACATTCCTGTGCCCTCCGTTGCGTTTAGCACATAAACCTAAAAAAAAAAAATTTCTTTCAAAAATTTTTGTTTTTGAGGGTGAATGAAAATTACAATCACCCTTATACTCAGTGTTCACGAGAACTTGAAGTATTTGTTTTTAGTACTTTGCAAGGAAACTACAACTCCCTACCTCAAGTACATTCTCCAAACCTGGTCTTACTAAATTTGCATCGCTAAACGGTGCTAGGTTAACTCTGGAGAAATACTGCGAGGTGTATTCTTACCTAGCGAGGTGCATAAGCAGACGATGCAAAGCTTCATATTGTTTTTGAGAACAATGTCTTTTTCATCGTTCTTAGAAGACAACAGAGTTTTAGAGAACCATTTTTCAACTCTGATTTCGATATCATTGGTTCCGCTGGTATTAACTGCACACAGAATGTGTGCATCTGCATGTCATATTGTTACTGGAGCTGGAAAATGGTTCCTTTGACCTCTTAACCATACTTCGTCTCGGATGTTTCGTACAGCTTTGGGAAACACACAGGGACAAATGCATTGATCTGAGCACTGGTTTGTTTGTTGAGGGCTCAGGAAAATCTAGGCTCTTTCAAAACCCATGTGCCAACGTCCTTGGCTTTCCAAATAGTACCTACAACTTCTGAGGTAGAGTATAATTTTGCACCAACCTAACAACAAAGTGGTAGGCTGTTATCATACAAAAGTGTTGATTTCTTTCGAAACCTCTTCTGGCCATTCCTCTCAGAGGACTGGCAGTTATAAGTGCACGCAGTGTCATTCCTACTTGTTCTGGCCAAGAAGTACAAGTTTGAAGGTGTGAAATTTATGCTGCAGAAGGTAGGAGCATGGTACGGAGTAATGACTGCTGATGCTACAAAAATGCAAGCCATGTATAGCTCATCGGAGAGAAAAAAGTACTGGGTGGCCTCTTGGCTATGTCTTCCTCCCCTGAGAGTACCTGTGCACCTTGTGAAGCAGCTGCTGATCAGGTGCAGAGATGTCAGAGCAGGGCAGAGATGTCAAAATCTGCAGGCTGTCCTGTAACAGGTGCCTGCATGGCCTCTGAGGTCGTTCTGGACAGAAGCCAACCAGTTGTCACATATGGAAAGACTGAGCGGAGGCACAGAGGAGGCAAGCCTTCTGATGTGCCAGTGAAGTAGAGCCATGGTGCTGGGTTCAGGCTGGTTGGTGGTGTTTGAGTCCACAGCAAGGATTGTCAGGTAGGGCAAACCTGGGAGAGCATGCCTCTTGCTAGTGCAGAAGTGTGTCTGAAAGCCACATCTTCAAGGAGCACAGCTTCTTTGAGTGGAAAAGCTATACTCCGTTCCACCTTCGTTCCGAGCGCAGTGGACTCCACAAGCCATTCCAGCCGATCCAGCGCCAGGAGAAAATCGCGTGACCTGCCTGTTGGGCAGAGCAACACCTGGAGCTCAAGGTCACATGCCACCCTCTCAACGCTGGATTGGCTTTGATGGCTCCTATAGCGTCCACTGCGCTCGGACTGAAGGTGAAACGGACTATAGTGCGGAGGAGTGCCCGAAAACCACTCCTTTTGGAAGCACAGCTTTTGGAGGGAACGATGAGTGTGGAGCTAGTGCAGAGGAGTGCCGAAAAGTCGCTGTCGATGCTTTGGGTAGAAAAGCTAGTGCAGAATGCCTAAAACCACTTTCTTGGAAGTCTCAGCTTTTGCAGAGAACGGTGAGCATGAAGCTAGTGTAGAGGAGTGCCCAAAAGCCTCTTATTTGGGGAGCACAGCTCCTGTAAAGGCATGGGAGCAAGCAGCCGGTGCCACTGGCAATGCTTCGGGTGGGAAAGCTAGTGCAGAGAAGTGCCTAAAAGTCACTTCCTCGGGCAGCACAGCTTCTGTAGACGCTGGTAAGTGGGTGGCCTTTGAAGTGACTGAAACCAAGGTAGTGTGCCCTTTCCAAAGCACGGTGGGAGGAGGGAAGCAGCGTGGGTGAAGTACATTGAGCACGAAACAAGGGTCTTGCAGGCTGTGTAAGGCACTAAACCATACTGCCACTATTGCATCCTCCACCATTGCTTGGGATGGAGGAGACCTGTTCTTTGTATGTGTCTGATAATCCATTTTCTGGCTTGGGGGAGGACAGCCCAGCATGTGCGACAAAGAGCAGGGCCACTGGAGGCAAGCATCCTGCCACAGCCCTGCTGCAGAACCATTTTCCTTCAGGCCAAGTTTAGCAACTATCCAACCTATCTAGCAGCATTTGAAGACTGGACCAAAAAACTGTTGCATGTATTATAAAAAAAAAAAAAAAAAGTCAGACATGTTTACTAGTTCAATCTGATAAATTTAAGTACTCCATGGTTGAGTTCATCTAGTTAAACCAACAGCTAACTCCTCTGCCCAATGCGATGAACGAGAGCTAAATGAAAAATTTATCGATATTCAGGCGTTCCTTAGCAGTCTTACAACCTTCCCTAGCAACCAGATGCAGCTCTTGCCATAGTCTGTTGCTCCCTGTGCAGCTCAAGAGGATGTATCTCAGCAGCAGCTAATAGACAACAATCGGTGGGGCAACTTTTTCCGAAAAACTGTGCATTAGTTTTATCAAACGCAGGAGGCAGACCACAAAATGTGACAGTTATAAGAAAGCATGCACTTTCTAAAATGTTTCACAACAAGGCACTTCACCTTAGTATGATAGGGGCAGAGTTAATTCCTCTCTACAAAAGTTATTCACTTACTGAAAAAGAATGGGCATGTGTAAGATCCAACAGTTTCTCTGTCTGATAGTGTTATGAATATTGTGCAGTACTTAACACGTAAAACATTTCCACATTGGGGTGGTTTTCAAGCTGTTCTGTTAGCTGAGGGACTAAAATTCAAACAGGTGAGAGATGCTTTCATTCAGCTATTGCATACAAAAGTTCCAGACCATTGGCAGTGATGTGATACTTGTGCCAAAGTGCTACATTTGACCAAAATCTGAGGAACTCGGGCCAACATTGCGCCAAAACTTAATTTTAACAACTTGCAATTTGGCCGGAACGATAGGATTGTGCGAGTTTGCAGATCTTTAGAATATTACGTCATATAACATACTAACTCGGTCTGATTTCGCATCAAACACAGACATTACTCGTGTAAGCGAGTGCCATTGTGTTTTGCCCTTTTTCTTCTATTTTGCCGGGCGCATCCCTGAAGTCGCCTACGAAGCTCAGAGGGCACGAATGTTGTGTTCTTAAAGGCATGTGTTAACACCGACTCCTCGGCATGAGGGGTCTCAAACGTGGATTCCAGCGCTATGAAGATGCAACTGGCTGGCGTCGGACCGGATGTGGCATCTGCCAGCCAGGCGAGAGAAGAACTATACAGCAGTCTACCTGCAAGACTCTGAGCAAGAGCATTTTGCGATGGTGGTATGCAACCACCATAGTTCCCAAATTTGTAAATTTGGGAACTATGGCCTAAATTTGTACTTTCGACTCTATTAAACCCAGTGTTTTTTTAATTGCCAAAAGCTTAGTTGTCAAGACCTCATTTATTTTCTAGAATATATTTTATTTGAGACTATTTCTAACAATTGGAAGTTCCGCAATAATTTTCGCGTTCTGTTCTGGCGGGTTAGTTTCGTGGAGTGTGCTTCTCACCGCTCACTGGTATACTGCAGTGAAGCGACAACCGCGGAGTAGGCATCGCGATTTTGTGTCTTGCTTCGCTGCAGCGCACCTGTGTGCTAAGGGGAAAGCATGCCTCCAGAGCGAGACTGGACGATTTTTGAATAAAATTTGGCTTGTATGTATGATAGACTGACTGCAGTATTGTGGAGGTATCTTTTTCCAATTCTAGATTTAGCTAGGATACTTCAGTATTGCAAATATATTTATGTGGACTCTTCTTTAAGTTAATGTTTTATGCCAACTTTTTTGTTTAGTTGTCACTCTTATCTAGGTGTGAGTGAATTAGCAGCTAAATTACCAGAAGTAGGGAATGCAAGCTTGAGAAGAACCTTAACGAGTTCGGCGGAGTTATTTATAAGAAGGCATATTTATCATTTACAGGCCAATTTTAGGGGCAAAACTCCTTAGGGTCTAGCCTTGTCCGGCGTCCGTGCTCACATCGATTGCCATCCAATGTCTTCTTAAAAAAAAAAAAAGAAATAATGTTTGTGCAGTCAACAGGATTCAAACCTGTGCAGGGAGACCCCAATGGATTTCTAGTCCATCGCCTTAACCATTCGGCCACGACTGCGGGACGAGTAGGGAGCTCTGAGATGTGGTAGTAACTCAAGAGCTGGGGATGTCATGGATGAAACGTTGCATGTAGCTGCTCAACGTCTATACAGGAGAGGGCGCTGCTGTCAAATGCTCAAATGCGTATATAACCACGTTCCATACCACACATTCTATAACAATGCAACCCAAAGCCCAGCACTACCTATGAACAAAATCAGTATCATCAGCACCACCGAGAGCTTTGCCCCAATCAACATCATTCACCACGTGAAGATGCGGTCTTTTTTTTTTTTTTTTTATGAAGTTCTAGGTATAAAATATAACTGATGTTTCATAATCAAATGACAAGTGCTTTTTTTTTTTCTGTATTAAGAACTGCAGTTTCATTACAACCTCTAGAACTTGAAGGAAAC